TAAGTCGTATTTTTACAGGTGAATAAATCACGTATTAAAAAACCGGGCTTAAATTCACATCGGAACCTATTTGTTAACTCGTTCGTATAAATGCACGAATACTCTCCCGCTTGTTTCCATTGATTTCATCTGCTTGGTAACCCTACTTGAATAATATCTTATCCTTAAACCGATGTTGTAAATTACTGATCATGCTTTTAAAAACGGCGTGTACATGCTTTTTCAGAAATAAATCATTATTATTAACTGTGTGAAATTTCCCTGGAAAATTTAGGGGTCTATGTCCTCTTGATGAGTACGTTTTCCTGAATATCTATTTATACTAAGCTTTCAAAATGCTTATATTATCTGATGTACACTGAAGAAATTAGCGTTGCAATTCAAATGGAATAGAATTCCTGAGTAGGTCAATTATGAGGGACTCATCTATTACTCCTGTAGCAGGTTGTTGGATGTAACATTGTACAAGATTATATTGAACTCATCATCTTATTGGAGAGACTATTGTCTTGAGATGACTGCAGAGATAGAGACTTCCTATATTGCCACGGAGCTTACAATCAAAGTCAGCTACTAAGACTGATATAAAGTATAGTTCACATAAGTGGTGTATCCAGAGTGGGTAAACAAGTGGACTGGACAGAACATCGCTGAAAATCTGGCCCAATGACCATCAGGAGGGCAAAAACAAATAAAGAATGTGTGGTTGAAAGCTTCTAATTTGTTGCTCGCATTGTGTGTTGGTACCACTACAATGTCTCGCAATGCAAAAGGTGGTTTTACCGCACTCCCTGTACATCCGGGGATAGCAGGAGGTACGAATCATCGTAGGCTTTCCTGTGTACTCCAGATTTGATTCAGTCAAGTTCATAAATTTATACAGGTGTGTGGCGGTGAATAAATCCCAAAATCAGTAGTTCTGTAAGTCTTCAAAATTTGATGCTGACCGCGTCAGTTTTACTGGACTCACGTAGTTCAAATGGTTCAAATGGTTGAGGACGGAATAGAAGAAGCTTTCGCTTAACGGGCTTCCGTATCTAGTAGCAGTGGATCACCAATACCTCCATGCAAAAACCTAGGTACATGAACGATAATAGAGGGGAAAAAATGAATTTGGTAAATCATAATAATATGTTATCCTTAGTCCTTAAGAATAGGTCAAGTTTCCTCTTAAAGGACTCCTGGGAGGTCGCTTGGACTAGCTCAGTCGGCAGCGAATTCCAGCACTTGACAACTCTAACGGAGTAGAAGTTGTGTCTGCAGTCTGTTCTGCTATGTAGGGTCTCCAATTTCTGGGTGTTACCTCTGAGGTTAGTGTTATGACTAAGCTTAAGAAGATGTTTAAGGGGATGACCAGAAGTATTAAGGATACTATAAGTCATAAGAAAATCACCTCTAAGACGCCTATACTCTAACGGGTAAAGGTTAAGTGATTTGAGGCGCTCTTCATAAGGTTTGAATTTGAGACCCCGAACTGATTTCGTGGCTCGACGTTGTATACGTTCCAGAGTGACCTTATCCTTTTGGAGGGAGGGAGGAAATACTATGTTTCCGTACTCTAAGTGGGGACGAATAAAACTGTTGAAGATTACGTGGAAGGTTCTACCGTCAAACTGTCCAAAGATGCTCTTCAATGTTACCAGTGCAAGGTTAGCTTGAGAGGCGTTTTTGTCACAGTTCGCATACGATTTCAGGTCGTAGGGTACCAACACTCCTAAATCTTTTTCCACTTGGGAAACTTCTAGAGAGGAATTACCTAAGTTATAACTAAAGTCTGCAACATGTCTCAGATGGACTACCTTGCACTTTGAAGTGTTGAAGGTAAGTCCGTTGTCGTCCGCCCAACTTTGAAGTCGAGTCAGATCCTCCTGAAGAACTAGTATATCATTGTGATTACGTATCTCTCTCCAAAGTTTCACATCATCAGCAAAAAGCAATAAATCAGATGAAACTTGTTGAGGAAGATCGTTAATATAAATCAAGAAGAGAAGAGGTCCTAGTATTGAACCCTGGGGGACCCCACTAGGACATTCCATAGCCTGAGAGAGAGTGAAGTTAACCCTGACCTTAAAATGTCGGTTTTCTAGGTATGAAGTGATCCAGTCAATTAAAGGGGGGGTTTTATACCCAATCGTCCAAGCTTCTTGATAAGACATGCATGGTTGACCCTATCAAAAGCTTTTGAGAGGTCCAGGTAGATGACGTCAACCTTCCCCTTGCGATCAAGGATGGTTGTCCATCTATCCACCGCAGTCAGCAGGTTGGTCATACAAGAATGACCTTTTCTGAAACCATGCTGTTGAGGCGAGAAGAACTTTGAGGATGATAAGTGTTCTAGTATGCCGTCGAATACTAGGGATTCCATAATTTTTGAAGGTATGGAGAGAAGGGCCACTGGTCGGTAGCTTGAGGGTTCACTGCGTCGAACTCCTTTGAAAATTGGTGTGATGTGGGCCAGCTTCCATATTTCCGGTAGTTTTCCTCTGCTTAGCGAGTGTGCAAACATCACGCTAAGTGGTGTCGCCAGGATTGAAGCTGCTTCCCTCAATACGGCGGAATGAACCATGTCCGGACCAGGAGAAGTGTCTTTTTTTAGGTTCTGCAGTTTACGGAGCACCAAGTCAGCACTCAGGTCCACTTCGGAAAGTCCTGTACAGGTGCAGGTGAAGCTTTCGTCAGTATGGTTGATGTGGGTCAGCTGGAATGTCCGGGAGTAATGTTCAGCCAAAAGGTTAGCGGCATCACTGTCGTTATTGGTCGGGCCATTAGGGCCAAGCAGTTGGGAAACTCCAGTTTTGCCTTGTCGAAGAGAAGCTGCATAACTGAACAAGCTTTTCGGATTGGAGACGAATCTATCGATAAGCTTCGTCTGGAACTGAAGCCTGTCTTCTCTTATTGCCTTTGTGCATATGTTCCTTATATGTTTGTATTGCCTGTACGCGCCGTTGTTATCAGTTCGTTTATATTCAGCCCAACAGTGCCTTTTGCGGCTTAGCAAACGACGAGTGCGGTTCTTGATGATTGCAGGTTGCTTGTAGCTTTTTGGGACCATTTTAGGAACTGAGTGCTCAGTAGCACATAAGATCGTGTGCAGTAAAAAATCCCAATGAGCATCCACTTCAATTTGAGGGCGAACATCCCAATCCACCTGTTGAAGATAGTCCTGTAAAGCTAACGCATTCAACCGTTTGAAGTTCCAGCGCTTGTTGCTAGTAGGATATCGTAGCTCCGTTTTGCTGACAAAGCTGAATGATAAGACGGCGTGGTCACTTTTCTCCAGGGGAGCCAGGATTGAGAGGTCGTCAACTAGGAATTCTTCGTTTGTGAATACCCAGTCTAAGCGTGACGGCGTCTGACTGTTTCTCCAACGGGTTGCCGACTTCACATTTTCAAATAATCCCAGGTCGTCGATAAGGTTGAAGAACAGAGCTTCAGTAGAGTTGGCACCACCAATGTATGTATGTTCCACGAAGTTGATTCTAGGGAGATTGAAATCCCCTAGAATCAGGATATGAGAGAATCCGAGACGCGTAGAGCGAGTTAATCCTTCCAGCAGACGTTTGTCATATTCGACGTCGGTAGTGGGCTTCCTGTAAACGACCCCAACTAGGCACCTGGAGGTGGTAGATAATCTTACTGAGCACCATACTGACTCGTCAAGATTGTGAAACTCTTGGTTGTGAAGTTGGTGAGCATCCAGGCATGACCGTACGTATAGTGCTACCCCACCCCCCATTCCTGTTTTTCTGTTGTTGCGAAATAAAGACATCCCAGTTATTGCTAACTCTTGGTCCGTAAACTGAGACGTTATCCAAGTTTCGGATATTCCTATCAGATGGGCATCATTAGCGTTGCTAAGTTCACGTTGCTCATCCATTTTGTTTGGCAAGCTCGCGGCGTTCGTGTATAGGCAGTTTATGCTTTCAATTTGGAACGCGTGAGCCTCTTCTTGTTTGTCTATATGAGCCGTGTGTGAGTGGACAGGTAGCCTACCTATACGATGTTTACCGAGTTGGTAGTCCCTGTCCTTTACACGTTTTTTTATGATCAAGACAGTCCACGAGTGGAATTGTCAGCTCCAGCTTTCGTTTGTGCTTGATCCTGCTGTCGTGGGGCCTATCCGGATGCATATGGATGCCAGTTGGCAACCGACTTCTATTGGCACGAAATGCTTCCAGAGTTGCAGCCGCCATGTGGGAGGAGGGGAGCTCGGTCACGCATCCGCAGTAGATCACGAGTGAGTACGCCGTGCTTCACTTCACCTACAACAGCTAGCCAGTTAAATCAGTCAGTTCTCGATAAATCGATAGCATATCAAATATATCTTCGAACATCTTTGCTTCTGACTTCTGATTTTACTGGGTTATTATAGAAGGTATTACTGGTTACGGCGTTGTCAAACTCCTAATACTTGTGGCATCTTAGCGTTCTAATTATCTGTTTGTAATTGTCAAGAGGAAAATTATGAGGAGACGAAAACAATTTCAGTAACAACAACGGAAAAACGGGCCGTTCGAAACTAAAGAGCTTTATGAGGTTTCTTTATTACTGAATGGCTGAGATTGATGAAAGTCATTTATAAATTAACATTGACTGCTTTACCTAGTGTCGTCAAAAACGAAAACTAGATAACTACAAAGCTTACACACTTTCTAGATACTCCGATTTTATAGTTAACAATCTAAATTATAGTGAATAATTATGATTATAATAAACCAATAACATTTAAATCTTATTTCGTATCGAAAGTCTTAATACTCCAGTGACTAGGCTAACTATATGATATATATGATGTATAACATCCCTTAAAGTCTAGTACAAGTTTTGAAGTAAGAAGAAATTGACTGATTTCGGGTAGCAATTTTTTTTTTAGATCGCATGCCTTTGTTGAAATGAACCACTATGGAACTGACAACCCTCAGAGGCTCATCAACCTGAAGGTTAATATACTTCTTTTTATCCTTGATGTTGGATCTTTGCATTTTCATCTAGTTTGCTGAATGAGTCACTGTGACCACGAGACTTTAAATGCGGAACAAACAAATTTTGCAGTTGGTGATGTTGTATATGTCGGTCCTGGGACCCAGCGGATAGGTAAAATTGAATTCATCGGAGAGACGCAGTTTGCCAGCGGATTGTGGATTGGTGTAAATTTATTTTCACCATGTGGGAAGAATGATGGCTGTGTCGACGGTGTGACTTATTTCACTTGTAGTCCATTGCATGGGATATTTTCCAAGTGCGGTAATGTCCGACTTGCCCCAAACCCTATACCTGAGGAATCCTGCTCAAAAGTAAGTTAGATTGCCAAAATTTCTACACCAAATCAATCAGAGTCTTTATACACCTGGATAGTACTTTTAGGTCTAACTTTTCGATCATCGTGTCAAATGTTTTATAGCCATACGTCTTTCGATCCATCGATAAACCGATATTAGTTCATTTCTGTACACTATTTGGCTACTCAATACACATTTAAGTGAGCTAAGGTCGAACTTTCACACTATTCTGCCACTCATAGGACTATCAAGTTTGGGAGGTCCCTAGTTATCCAGAGATTACTCAGTTAGCATTTTCGTGGGGTGGATATTACAGTGGCATATGATTGCAATCCCATCTTAAGGTGACGTAACCTGCTGGTTATGGTGCATTCTCTAATCTTGTATATACAGATATGACTAAACCTTTAAGTTAAAGGCTTTTACAGTTCCCTGTAATCTGTAGTCACCTGAAGCTACTAAACTTAAGATATGGATAAATCTCTCTTGTAGTACTTTTGTATCCTAGATTTATCCAAATGTTTTGTTGCATTGTACATATGTTATGAGTTACTACTAAGTCGTCAAGTTTATATATTTTTTGCTCCTAATATTCCAGGTTTGTGCAACAATTCCTGATAATGATAAAGCGGCAGACAGTCAATCAAAACAAAATAGCGTTTTAGATGTCAATAGTGTCTGTTCATCCAAGGTGTCGCTAGTAAACTCTCCTGCCTATGCACCTGGACGAAATACTTTGCAAATTGGTGATCATGTTCAGGTTTCTGGAGGTCGAATCGGTATCCTCAGATATCTTGGGCCTACAGAGTTTGCTGTTGGCGAATGGGCTGGTGTTGAGTTGGATAGCCCTATTGGGAAAAACGATGGCTCAGTTGCTGGCGTACGGTACGCTGTTCTGTCATTTTTGTGGTAATTCTGTAAAATTATATATTACTCAGACTGTCAAACATTGTATTTCATTATAAATGGATATATTGTAAGAAGTTGGTGTGAAAGTAATGATGTATATGTGCACCAGAAGATTTGGGTATCGTTTCATAGAATGTAGTGATTTATATTGAAACTACCTGATATTTGCTCAGATTGCTTGACGAAAATGGTATCTGATAAAGGAACTTGAAAACTAATTTCGAGCATATATATACTTGTTTGACACCAGTAGATCATTGCTAAAAATATGCATCCATTGCTCTGTGCAATTTCGAAGTCAACTAATACTGTGTTAATGGAATGCTGTTCTTGCGTTCCGGACAGAGGACAAAATTGACGATTTGATAAACTCATCTCTAGTTTAAGATCATTTACGCTATTTGAAAGGTAAATATTACTGATTCTAAAATACTAAAGATGGTCTTTTTTAGCATGATTTTACTGTATCAATTAGGTGACTTATTTGTCGAATTCAGGTTTGTTTACTGGACTTTAAGCCACATATATTGTGTTGGTGACACTACCCGGTTCCCCGAAAGGAAATAGATGGTACGAAAATGTTTTATTTATCTAACCATCACTTCGTTGGAGAATGAGACCTTTTATTTGGGATATGATATTTATTTATTTATGTAAACTTATAAATATTGGTACAAGGGGGCGCCAGATATATATGCGCCACACAAATCTCATTTGATTTGTGTGAGGGCTGTGATACTACCCAGGTACCCAAACTGAAGCGGGAGGTTTTCTTAGGGGGCCACACCCGGAGCCTTTGACCTAAAGGTCTGATCCACAAGGTAGTGGAGCATCGTGAGGAGATGCAGTCTCATGGTAGCCGGTGACCAATGATTGGTTCATACGCCATTTGTTCCCTCAGGATACTGGAGCCCATGTGCACCATTGGTTTGGAATCAGGGTTTTCCAACTCCCCTAGGTGGATCCTCCACATCCACCAACCCGGTTAAAGCGCCGGAAATTCGCTTTGCGTCTTCTCAATTTCGTAAACAACACCCCCTCTACGAGAAGGTAGTGAGTAGGACTTCTGTGGCAGAGTCTATATACTCGTGGCCATATGAGAGTATTTCGAGAGGGAGAGCGAACTCTTCCCACTCGCGGCCGTACCAGGGCAGTGGGGCCTCCAATAAGCATTTTGAAACATGGTGCTAAAAGACCGGCGTTTCGATCGTGTCTTTCTGGGGTATTAAAACAAACTGATATCAAAGAGAATTTCTGTGCCTATAATGCCTTAATAACCAGTAATTCTTGGCTGATCGCTGTGAAGGCGATTTTTTACTTAATATGCCCATAACTATCTTAGGGATTCACATGATAAGCAGCCTTAACATAATCTATCCAGTGGGTTGGTGATTTTCGGCAAGCTTTGTCACTCTGTATGATTCCCCAACATTTGTTTAATTTGGTCCTGTTTTCTATTCGATTGAGATCTTAAGTGAATATGAGCTTGTCCTTCATCACTAAAGCGAATAACAACCTGGTCATTTTGTATTTTTATTTATCTACTGAAAAAGTCAGTTTTTGGGTCATGCAGACTTTGTATCTAGCAGTACCAAAGACAACATTGTTGTTCGTTTTAGACGTATTAATATGTCATAAGTCCGGTAGTTTTGTAAAGTCTTATACTTTTAAAATTTTTTCCTACATAGATATTTTACTTGTAAACCAAATTATGGCCTGTTTGCAGCTGCTAATAAAGTTGTACCTGCCGGTAGTAAGGATGAATTTTGTACATCTGGTTTTGACGCATCAAAACACAGTCAAACTCGGCAAGTTTATATGGTGTTATTTTATGGTGGTACACTGTTTATATATTAAGCCTGGATTCTATATTTCCTGATTTCCTGAGCTGAATTCACCAGCTTCTGTTAATATATCGCCCCTTCAGCTATTAATTGATGGGTAACAGAACATACTTTTTAAAACATTCACTTTATGATAGTGATTTCTAACATAATTAAGAAGTCAGGATGAGATGTGCAGTAAATTTTTGACATATTCCATGGTCGGAAATACAATTTGATGTACTCGCTATTAGCCAAGTTTTAAAAATTTATTTGCACACAAATTTGGAGTTGTCAGTAAGGTAAATGTGTTCAAAAACAATTTAAATCCTAAACTTGAATTAGTTGAAAATCCACTGGAAACTAGAGGGCATGGGACGGTCCTAAGTTCTTAGTCGAAGTCGTGTCATCATGGATTGTGACGAAATACTCGTTATCATGTAAACCGTCCAAATTAAATAATGTCCATAAGCCCTCCATCCTAGCAATAATAATTTAATCACCAGCAACTTTGAGAAAGACTTCTGAAGTTCTTGTCAGCACCCATATTGGTAGGGTTCAACAATGAAAGGAGTGAGGCAAGTTTCACCAAGACTATGGATGAAGGTTGCGCATCATCTTATATTCCTAACAGAATTGTAAATCTCCGGCTGACCAATTATTGGTCTAACGATCGATTATTCTCTGCCAAACGTGAATTTTTTGTGTTCGACCCCTAGTTGGGTCGTGGATTTGCATTACTAAGGATCTCAATACCAGAATAAAACATCTGCCCAGTTCTTCCAGTTTTTTGATATTGTTTAATCAAAGTCAGCTCACGATGCAAAACTTCGAATTATGACCTCCCATCATATCAGGGCCATCACTATCTGATGCAGAAACCACTAGCTGTGTGCCGTTGACATTATTTCTTTATTTAAACACAAATATTAGTACAGAAACACCATGGTAAATGTCTGTTGTAAAATAAGAAAATGAGATCGTGAAGCAATAGAGAAAGGAAGGCAAGTGTAATAAAAAAACAATAAATAAGTAAAAACTAAGCGAATGAGTGTAGTATATGGTGGGAGAAGCCTTTCAGTTGTCAATAGCGCAGCCACAAAGAATCCTCCCAGTTAGGGAAGTTCCTCTCTTTTGAAATATATTAAATGAAAATTCAACAGGATCCCCATTGGCTTATGTTCTGAGCCATGTTTGGTAACATCTCAAGCCACTGAGTTGCGGCATCTCTCGTATCCCAACCTGAGAATCATGAGGGACTGACATGCTAGCCCTGTGCAACTTTCCCTTGTCTCCTGGGATCATGTCATAAACTGACTGTCTCCACTTTTTCTAACCAGTCACAGCGTCGACAAATAAAACGTAACGTGGAAGTCTGTGGCATTTGGTACAATCAAGCTACCGAGGTTGATGTTTCAAGGTGGTGACACCAATTTAATTATCGTCACTGTGTCCGAGCACATATTGCTACACCTCCGTATTATTAACATAATGTTGCTATTGAATGTCAGTAATATTTCGGAAAACAAAACGATGGGACACAGAGAGTTGCTTAACATCTTCAACTTGGACAGATCAGGTTCCGCAAGCATGGAGCAAAACTGCTCTCGCCAAAGTGTTGTAAACCCGGCCTTCTACAACCAGACTAACACAACAAAGGCACCAGAGGTGTCGCAGGTTGTCACAAGCTGCTCTGGCTTTCACTTTAGGTCAATTGATCCCACCATTCGCGCTACCACCCAGCACCTACACAGCTACCCAGATACACATACCTCTTGAGTACTTATAACTGCTCATTATCTGGTTTGAGCGCAGGTACGGGGTCCTGCCAGTCTCGTAAAAGTTCTCACTTATAATGTTCAGTGCGCATGCCGTATCCACCGACACTGATTAAGTGAGAGTTTTATAGCTTGAGTGCCATCACACAGTAGGATAATATTTCAGGTCGAAAAATCTTTCTCCAGGCAACAGATCAACATCACCACTAGTTACATCCATCAGAACTGTTTCCAGAACGTTATCAACGGCAAAGTTGATGAGAAACAGTGAGGTTGGATAAACCTGCCTAACCCCACTGCTTTGATGAAACAATGGAGAGAGATGGTTGTATATTTTCACCCTGCCTGAGGTTCTTGTATGTAGGGCCTTCAAAATGTGAATAAATCTTTCAGGAAGTCCTCATTACGATCCATCATAGAGGTATAGATACACATTATCGAGAGGTTAGATTCTAAAAGAAATCAACCATTCAGCGCTTCTTAGTTTTTAGTAGTTGTGTAAATGAAATCAGTTTTCAGTGTAAATCATTTTCAAATTGAGCAATCTTCTCAAGGCTACTACTCTAGAAGTCTTATGTTTTCTGGGACTTAACAGTTATATTTTAGTGAGTGGAAATCTGTACAAGTGATCGTGATTTGTTTCAAATTTGTGACATACTTCTTGAGAATAGCGGGAATTACTCGTCATCCTCGAAATCAATTTTCATAAAATCAGATGGATTTTTGTATTAGTCTCCAATGTTTTCAGAAGTTTGATTAAAATAGTTTATCCTTTTTTTAAAATGTAGTTCTTATTTAATTGGTTGCGAAAAATCATTTCTTCTCCCATATCTTGTTTTTTTACAGCCGGAGTCAAGAGTCATTACTATCCTATTCATCCAATTTGAGCTCAGTATCTCGGTCTTATCGTCTAAATCAAGTTAATAATGGATTACAGGTTGGTTTCTCTCTCACTTCTATGTGCTTTTAACTAAAAATCATCAAATTAAAACATGACATTTCGCTAGTCTATGAAGTCACCAGCACTTAGTCTGAGTTATCTAGAGAAGCGCAAACTTTCCGTAAGGAAAATGTTCCTGTGCAATAATAAAAATTAGTCTTATCAGATTTTAAGTTAAAATGTAAGAACTCCGAAGATGTAAATTTACTGACCCTCCAAAGACAAGTCGAAAAACGCAATTAAATTAATTTATATACTGATTTTACATACACTTGATGATTAATTAATTAGCAGGAAGAATACACAAAGTTACTGTAACAACATATACGAAGTTTATACTAAATAAATGCAAAGAATATAGTGGTCAGACTAGACGAAAAGTGTAAGGACGGCTCGTTGGTAAACTCTAGGAAGCTTCAAGAAGGCCAGAAAGAGCCGAAGACATTCTATCCACTACTAGGGGAATATTCTAAAATGTCGACGTGTAGCTTCCCCATTGGATGGATAAGAATGACCCCCTATGTGCCTATTGGTTGACCGAAATGATGATTTACATTCAGCCAATAACTATAAATACATGAGATTTCTGTACTATATTTTGACACTGTTTTGGGGAATGAACTTCCTACTTACTAGTCTTCTGTCTTCTCTCTTGCGACGTTGCAGGTTCGATCGTTCAAGTAGTCTAGTAGTACGCGGCATAGTAAGAACCAAAGCTCTAGATATAACAAAAAGTCACACCTGTCGTCCTGAATAAAATCCATTCAGAAAAATATTGACCTGAAATAACGTCACCTTTTCATCCCGTCATATTACATCGTAAAACCTAATTACGTAGTCCAATATTACTAAAGCCAACAGTGGATCGCTTTGTGTAGTGATTTCATACTTCGAAATACTCATTATTATTATTATTATTATTATTATTATTATTATTATTATTACTAGCTTTATTCAATATTATATTATTTGGTACAAAATCGAATTCTCAGTTTAAAGTATTTCAACAAGCGTCCATTTCTTATTTCTACGTTGCTCCTGAAGATAAATATTTAGCGATCGCCAGTTAGATGTCAGCAGTTCAATCAATCGACATATGGATAATGTATATTCTTTTCTCTGCATGTTCCCAGCAAACACGACATCTCTGATTAGGCCTTTTGTAACCTTTACAGCGAAAGGTTGTACAGTTTTCAGAAACGTACCTGAATAGGTTGTGTGATTAATAGCCATAATGATGTATTAAAACAAATAATATTAGATAACTTGTTGAAATATATAGATGACAGGAACAGGTAGCCCAGATGTTTAAGCAGGCCGCCCATCTAACAGTAAAGTCCAAAGCACTCTAATTTTTCAACTGTCAGTAAGGCGTTTTAAGGACGATGTTCATATCGACCTGTACATTAACCATGCTGACTGGTTACAAAGAATATGTTATACAGAAGTTTGTTCTGTTTCATTATTCTACTATGAAACAAGGTTTTCGAATAAAAATCTCTACTCTAATGTTAATATTGTAATAATCGGTTGGTTTACTCATTGATATCTAATCTATCTTAACATAGGCTAATTCACTGTTTTATCAAACTTTATCGTCAATACTAGTATAAAGGAATATCAATTAAGGAACCAACTGATAGAGATAAATCATTTAGATAACACAAACTCCATCACTGAAACCATGATGCACATTGCCGAAGATTCATATACTAAGATGAAACGGCCATCTAGTGCTTCCAGGTTTTCATTGGTGGTCTAACACTGATCCGTTCATGATTTCGTTGAAACTCAACAGTCTCGACAAACCTATACTGATAATAAGTTTAATTGTTTTCATATATTCATAACTATTCTTCCGTGATAAAACATTGATATCTGAATGAATTACATCTGGGCAAATTGTATAGATACTTGAATTGATTTGAAATCAAGTAACTTTTATTATATTTATTTTGTTGTGCTAACATAAAGCTAACAAATATTTTGTCTTAAAGTAATATTCATAATGATAAAGAAAGTTTTATCATTAGACTTAATGTATTCAAATAAAACAATATACCACCATTAAAACACTGATTTGAGATGAAAATAATGTATGCTTACCTCTTTCTGTAATATTGTCAAATTCTTTCATTCCACTGTTTATTTAAACAATTGAAACGAAAAATTTTATTTGCCATTATTGATGGAATTATTTACAATAATAATATGTTTTGTTTAATTACAATGTCAAGAGTCGTAATAGTGTAGCTGGTAACCGAAGGCCTATATCATCAATGAACACTTCAAATCGTCGAGAATCTATATCTAATTTACAAACATTACAGGTTAGTTGTTTAAATATAAGTGTTCTTTTTTTCAGATTTTATGGAAAAGCGTTTTGTTTGGTATATAAATAGTAGTATGCACTGTCTACTATGCAGAGCGATCATTTAATAGTATAACCACCTACAATTTTCCAATCATCATTATTTCCATTTTAATTTCTTCATCAAAGTAATATATTTAGTCCAAACATAGTAAATGTGACTCATCGTTTAGTTGTTCACCGGTATGTGTTCATGCTTTAAACTGTTTCCCTATATATATCACTTGTTAAGGTTATGTATGCTCTACGTGAGAAATCAATTATTGAAATGTATCATTGGTTCTAACATGAGTATCTTAAATACAGTGAATAGTAACTTGTAGTTCACTTTATCAAGAAAAGCTAACTAATTCATGATCCATTGATTATCAGTTTAAATGATGCTTTGTTTTTTATGGCTAAGTTTCATTCACTTTGGTTAGTTTTTCTGTTTCTACTATGTAGATAAAAGTTTAGGACGTAGTTAGAACTGATTTATTACTGTTTTAACTTGTCTATAATTTTATACGTTTACCAGTGGCCTAACGACGACGCTAACATTAATGTTATTAATACAGAATATATTTAATCATTCCAGTATTCTCTTTTTTTAACCATTCATAGATAAAAAGTCTGTATAGATTATAATTATCGGTTTAACCAATTAATTCTATCCTCACAATAGGTTCACATAAATGTATTTCCATGCAATTCTTCCGTTTTATAAATTCCACTAGGCCAAAAATAAAAATTGTCAGTTATAAAAAGACTTAAGCTAAATTTATATATAATAATAATTATTATTATTATTTGTTAATCAATTAATACCGTATTGTTGAATAGAATATGAAACAATATGTAACCTAATATCAGTTTGTCACAATTGTTGATTCTTTTTTACATTTTCGTGAAAATGTTTGTGCTTGCCAGCATAGCACCTATTATTTGTAATACAAAGACCCTATTATTATTATTATTATTATTATTATTATTATTATTATTATTATTACGTGTGTGATTTTCCAAGTATTTTGTATGAGAGTTTTTTCTCTCGTCACTATGCTGGTTTTCACATGATTTCACCCATAATTATGAATCTAAAGAAAAAATATTCAAATCAAATGGTTAATCGGTAATTGTTCTTACTATGCAAAACAGAAGTTGTTTTAAGTAAAATAATAATATTAATAATCAGTAAATGATTATATATGTTGCTTTTTTAACTTGTTAGACACGTGATACCTTCAACTGTATGATAATTCATTGTGAACAATTCAATCCTTATTTCATACTCTTTAGGGAAAACTCCAATGAATAGCGTGATCGATTTAGCTAGTGGAAATTATTATACACTTTCACAATGATTATTGTATTCATAATTGTAAAAGAAAGGATAATCATTGAAGCTTCACCGAGTAAATGATTTGACGTGTACATGTAAAGAGAGAAATCTTTTTGCTGACGCTAGCTTATGTATAAGTGATTTTCTAAGAAATCAAAGCGCATCGATGAAATCCTAATCATTTAGTGATAGACTTTCATTTCTTTTTGATTTCGTCACTAAATATCTTGATTTTAACATACAATTTACCTTGAATTGTGACACCGTCTTCGCTGATAAAATAACTTCAATAAACATCTAATTAGACAAGGAATATTTGTAATTTGTATGTATTTACTTAATCAATGGCTATCGTGTACGTTTTAGAATTTATGAAATTCGGATTGGAACATGCAATACTATTGAGTGAAATACAATGACAGAAAAGCTGTTCAAACTCTGTCCGATGTGACCCTTTAGTGATGCAAACAATTAGGCTAACTAGTAGGTTATCTTAGTTTGAGCTACTACATAAAATCACCAGGCCTTAAACAGACAGTTTGGTTTAAGGTTGAGTATGTCAGTTGTGGTCAACGTAGAGCCTGACATATATGTTGGCCCACGTTACCATACTGCATTAGCACTATGAGGTACATTTAAAAAAGAACAACCAGCAAAGAAATCTGAACATTTTAGTAGCAATAATAGTGCATAAGTCTAAATACTGAGAATCTGTTATGCCTGAAACTAAATCGATTCCGCGGTAACGAACGAAAACCAAATGACACAATGACACGATAAGCTATTCTAATCTGTTGTCCCAGGCCCCGCTAACTAGATGAAGAAGTCCAAGGCAAGTAGGGGAATATATATGTATTCCGCAAGCAGCCGAGTACAAGCAATCAAATAAGGGAAAAAGTCAAGCGCATTTATACAGTAACAAATTGTCCTTGAGCACCATTAGTAAATAGCACACATAAAGAAACAATGGACCAATAGCGGTTAAGATAGTTTACAGGTGGGAAATATGACGTGAAGGTAAAAGAGCGCTTTTGGCGCGAAAACAGCTAAATTCAAATTTTCAAAATAAAACTACAAGATTAGGTCATTTACCAAGTAAGTTCTGGGGATTTGACATCCCCAACACCTCCCCTTTTTAGTAACGGACATTCTTTGGGTCCACCTGCATTCTAACTGTCTGTCGCCGTTGGCGCAGTGACCATCTTCGGGACCGTAGATCGACCTTTTGGTCTTCTTCATGCGTTGCGACTGCCGGCAGATTAAATGTATCCAATAGTACGTCCAGCGGAATCTTTACTTCGGTCGATGGGCGCTCTGGTGTTAACCGCTTGCGTAGTTGATTTCGATGTCTGGTCCATCTGTCCGTTCCTACCTCAACCTCATACATGACTTCTCCCATCCGTCTAACCACACGTGCTTCGATCCAAGGGTCACGATTTGCTCTGTAGTCCCGAGCGAATACTGGGCATCCAACGTTGTACGTGGGTAGCTTCCGGGACGTGGTTTGTATTAGTGGTGGTGTGGATTTCGGCAGCATCAAGTTGTGAATGGTCCTCAGCCGTCTTCCCATGAGGATCTCTGCGGGGGACTTCTGCTCCGGCAGCGTGTCGTTGGGGGTCGTTCTGTAGGCAAATAAAAAATTCTGCAGTGTTTCCACTGGCGTCCCCTCCCCTTTTGACTTAATCAGAGCCCTCTTGAACGTATCCACGAACCTTTCCGCTTGCCCATTCGATTGTGGGTGGTAAGGTGGGGCGCGAAGATGCCTGATGGTTAGGCGTTTGCAGAACTCTTGGAACTGCGCCGAGGCGAACTGCGAACCGTTGTCGGATACAATCACTTCCGGTAATCCGTTTCGTGCGAACAACTCAGTCAAATGTTTCAGAGTCTGGGTGGTCGTTGGTGGAGTGACGGGAACAATCTCCGGCCATTTTGAGAAGGCGTCGACCACGACAAGATATGTGGTTCCGTTGACTGGACCGGCAAAGTCGATATGTATCCTAGACCAGGGATGCTCAGGCTGTGGCCATGGGACCGGCGGTACCTTCGCATTGGACTTTGCAGCTTGTTGACACTGAGCACATTTGTTTACTAGATCCACGATATGCTGGTCCATGAGGGGCCAGTAAGCATAGCTTCTGGCGATGGATTTCATACGCTTTATGCCTGGATGACCAATGTGGAATTGCTTCAGCACCCTCGGTCGTAGGGATTCTGGCACGACCACTCTATCTCCAAACATCAAGCATTCATTTACGACACATAATGAGTCACGACGATGGTAAAGCTGCTTCATGTCACCGTCAAGTTCAGTTGATGGCCAGCCATTGGTGACGTAGTTCATCGTTTTCTTAATGACGGGGTCGTTTCTGGAAGCAATTTGTATCTCAGATTCTAAGACTGGCAAAGCACGAACAGCGGTTGTCAGGTAGCATTGCGCGTGGTCTTCTGTCGAAAGAGAAGCGATAACGGCATCTTCATCGGTCGTAGAGTGTTCGTTGATGAGTCGTGACAATGCGTCTGCTTGACCAAATTGTTTGGTGCGTCGATACTGAATGTCAAAATCATACCCCAAGAGGATCAAAGCCCATCGTTGGAGACGGTTTGCAGAGTGGGCCGGGACGCCAGATTTCGAACCAAAAATTGCGAGAAGGGGCTTGTGATCCGTAAGGAGTGTGAACCTCCGACCGTACAAAAATTTGTGGAACCGCCGCACCGCAAACACCAGGGCGAGAGCCTCCTTCTCTATCTGACTATACTTCCTTTCTGCCGGGGTCAGTGTTCGGGATGCGTGCATGACAGCCTTCTCTGTTGCGTCTGGAAACTGATGAGAAATGACGGCTCCTACGCCATACGCTGAGGCATCTGCAGCTACAATGATTGGCATGCATGGATCGTAGTGCGTTAATAACAATTTCGAGCTGATGATGGACTTCAGTTTACAGAATGCTGCGTCACACTCTTTAGTCCAGTTCCACGTACTGTTCTTGCTCAGTAGGCCATTCAGTGGGGCACGAATGTCATGCATTGAAGGGACGAACGCGGCATAGTAAGAGACCAGTCCCATGAAGGAACGCAGTGCGGAGATATTCGTGGGTGTGGGCATCTGTCGTATCGCTTGGACATTTTCAGGATCCGGTCTGCGGCCGTCAGCATCAAAAATAAACCCCAAATACTTTACGGACCGTAATAAAAACTGGCATTTCTCAGGTCGTAACCGGAACCCGTTTTCACTAATGCGTTTCAGTACCGATGTCGTTCGCTCATGTAGCTGTTCTAACGTTGCGGCAACAATTAGAATGTCGTCAAGGTAAGCCGCGACTCCCGGGATGCCCGATAAGATAGTATCCATTAATTGTTGGAAAATAGATGGTGCAGTCTTGACACCGAATGGTAAACGGTTGTACTGAAATAACCCACGGTGAGTGTTGATAGTAAGCAGCTCCCTAGATGCTTCGTCTACTTCAACTTGCAAATAAGCATCAGCAAGATCCAGTTTTGCGAAGAATTTTCCCCCATTCAGCATCGTAAACAAATCTGCCGGAACTGGTAAGGGATAGTGGTGTTGTTCAAGGGCTGCATTTAGACCTGTAGAAAAATCAGCACATATTCGTAAGGTGCCGTTTGCTTTCTTGATGACCACTATCGGTGCTGCCCAGGCGGAGTAAGAAACGGGAGTAATTACTCCTTGTTGTTGGAGGCGGTTTAATTCTTCATCTACTGTTGGTAACGTCGCATAAGGCACGGGTCTTTTGGGACGAAAGACGGGCTTAGCTCCAGGTTTCAAACGAAGCGTTGCTTTTAAGGTAGAACACTGTCCCAAACCAGGCTGGAAAATCGATGAAAACTGCGCCATTAGCTTCCTGGTATACGATTCAGTGCCATGAGGTTGTGATATCATGTGGCATATGGTATTTAGTGGGACATCAGCCAATTTCAGTTGATCGAACCAATCTAAACCAAGTAAATTTAGATCAGCTGGAGTTATATGACATACCCCGGTAAATGACGACTCCCGGAAGGTCACTCTACATTCCAATTGTCCTTCTAAGTGTAGGAAATTACCACATGCGGTACGAGGCTTTTTAGTTGTTCGCTGCAGGCTTGGGCGACCCATTTTGATCCAATTTTTGTGAGAGAGGATGGTGACGTCTGATGCGGTATCTATTTGCAATCTAAAAAAATGTCCATTAATATTAATGTTAATGAATTTCCTCTCACCTGGTGATGAACTCTGACAAGAAGATACCAAGCTCAAAGAAGAGGTACAGGGCTTTGGAACCGTCTTTTTGGTATTACTGGATCGATTTGGTGTGCTCTTAAGGCAAAACCCGTCCTTGTGGCCAACAACCTTGCACTTCCTGCATCGATGTTGCTTAAATGGGCAATTCCTTACGTAGTGCCATGCACCACAATGCCAGCAAGGAGTGGAGGGATTTGTTCTGGTCTGTCGAATTGGGCTGAAATGAGTTGGACTGAATGCAGCGGGAGCGCACTGATTCTGGTTAGTTGTCTTTTGGATTACTCGTACTTCCGATCGACTAGACCCACCACTCTCAACCATCGACGTGTCTCGTTGTAGATTTACTAGGCGTTGATATTCATTAGCCATGTCATTTAGTGTAAGTTTTGGATCTTGGTCCAATCGACATAGTAGTCGCGTTCTTATGTCACTGAACTTCTGGGACTGAAGGCTGCAAATGAGGATAAGGGCTTTGAACTGGTCTTCAGATAAAGACTTTAACCGGAACCGTTCGCATTCACGGTTAACGATGCCCACATGCGTAAGGAAGTCATCGTCTTCGTTCATAACCAGCTTCAAACATCGGTAACGGGTGTTAAACAATGATGAATTGTCCCCAAAATGTTGGCTTAGTGTCTGGACTGTGTCTGCGAAAGAGCGATCACGTGGATTCAATGGCAGGATCAAATTGCAGTACCTGTCCAGCTCACTTGCACCCAACTTCCGAAGTAGCAGTCGTACCTTCCAAGCATCATCTTGATTAGCAAAATCAAATTTAAATAGGTCTTCATAACGCCGGAACCACATGTCAAAAGTAACGTTTGCATCAGGATCATAATGAAACTCAGCAATACTATTTGCGACGCCGTCTACTGATGGTGCTGTGGTTGCATTAGCTGTGCTAGGCTGTGAAGGGGGCGAAACTTTCATGTCTGTCAGCATTTGTATGAGCTTCAGCTGCTGTTCAAGTAATGATTCGAGTTTAGAAGGATCCATGTTTCCAAACCACCGTCGCCAATTGTTATGCCTGAAACTAAATCGATTCCGCGGTAACGAACGAAAACCAAATGACACAATGACACGATAAGCTATTCTAATCTGTTGTCCCAGGCCCCGCTAACTAGATGAAGAAGTCCAAGGCAAGTAGGGGAATATATATGTATTCCGCAAGCAGCCGAGTACAAGCAATCAAATAAGGGAAAAAGTCAAGCGCATTTATACAGTAACAAATTGTCCTTGAGCACCATTAGTAAATAGCACACATAAAGAAACGATGGACCAATAGCGGTTAAGATAGTTTACAGGTGGGAAATATGACGTGAAGGTAAAAGAGCGCTTTTGGCGCGAAAACAGCTAAATTCAAATTTTCAAAATAAAACTACAAGATTAGGTCATTTACCAAGTAAGTTCTGGGGATTTGACATCCCCAACAGAATCACAGGATGAAAAGGTGGATATACCGTTCCTCAGTCATCGATCCTGAGACATGCCGTTGAAAGTTTTCCACCACTGATTGCGATTATCATGTAGACCCCAACCAAGTTGTATGCATCTACCGACTCTGCTCGTATCAGCACTTAGGGACTTCGTAAACTGATGTTAAGTATTGATTTTGCCGCCTCTAGCTTTTTCTAAACTTACTCCTACACCAGCTAACATCATAGATTGACTTAGACAGTGCTTGGGCGTCAGCTGTTAGACATAATTATATACCTTTTTAATTAGTTACAGTTAACACTACTATTATTAGTCACTTTCACATCGCTTCTGTCAATTTATGAAGACCATTAACTGTTTTTCCCATGTTTTTTCTGTTTTTCATATTGATATTATGTGATGTCATCAATTCGCTATTAATTCTGTGTATTATTTGTTTTCCATAGCGTTTAGTCAAGGAAAAAGAAGCGCATATCGAGCAACTTTTACAGGAACGTGAAATGGAACGTTCTGATTTAGCCAAAGTTACTTTAGAAAGAGAAATGGCAAGTGCAATTTTTTTGATTTTACTGTTTTCCCTCTCTTTGCCTCTCCTTATCTAATTCATATCGATAAGCCACTGCTAACAATAGGGACGCCTAATAGTTGTTCGTTATTGTTTTCACTCTGCGTACTACTTATATCTATGATTAGTGGTTGATAATATGGTAATGTGAATTGTCAGTTTAAACTGCACACACTAGATGATGTACATCTCTTTTTTAGGCCCGATTAGATTCAGCCAGAACAGTGGAATTTTCTAAATCATTAGATTTTTGATCAATTAATCCCGGAGTCTGGCTGACATCTTGATTCAACTCTTTCGGTTTAGAAGATTCACTCTTCATTGTGAAACTATGTGACGAAATCTTATCTTAGTTTGTCATATATCCATTTGTCCGCAAATAATGACAAACTTTACACACATAACAGATATCCATAATTGATTAAAATAGTCACTTATTAAAACTGGTTGAAAACTACTATTGTTGTAGAGATCGTGTTAAAATATCTCCTACAGTATTTCATTTAATCGAGAAATCAATATGTGCTCGGTTCGAAAATGAGTAAGGGGAACTTTATCAAAACATTGTTTCACCCTTAATCTTACATAATTATCTGAAGTGACTGGCAATCAGTAACATGTAAACACCTATATTTTAGTTATATGTGTCAATCGTTCCGTGATCAATTAAATCACATTTCTGTCAATAATTTCATAAATACATTGACGACATTATATACTGTAGATTCCAGGAAATTTAACAATAATTGTAATAATAATGGCTTTATTCAGTATTGGATGTTTACTACAATAAGCAATATTTTAATTGTTCATTCTTTGAAAATATTGTTTTTATGCGTCAAGTACAACAAACAAGTCAATATTAAGCCGTCTCATTCTAAACAGTGTGAATAACCTGCATTTTCGTAAGTAATTTTCCTTACAAATATTTATCAGTCAACAAATAATTGAAAATTGATCTTGGTTAAAGCCTTTATATCAATGATCATCCATCATCGTACAAAAAATCCAGACCTAAAACTTTTAGCTCTCATAAAGAGCACGGTATCAGTCAGTCAATAAATAGGAATCAAACAGTTTATTGTTTTTTTAAATTTGACAGACGATATAGTGCTGTCTTGACTCAATGTCTTCGTTGACTAAAGAGATCATAGCTTCTTTATGAATAACTTAAGGAAATCCACCTTTTAAAATAGTCACTTTTGAGCACATAATTATTAATAATACAGTTTTGGCTGTGTTATGTCTGCCTGAAGACCGATTATCACGAAGCGCAATGCTGACTAGTTTTGGAGATGGTTGGAAGAAAGTTAGAGGTGGCCAAACCAAAACGTCGCACTAACTTCTGGTCTGAGCCATGTTGGCAGGTATAGACCACTTGGTTGGGGTCCGCGAGATTATCGTAACCAATGGTTGGAGACTGTGGGTGACATGGCTCAGAATTGGTCACGATGGAATAGGTGTATACACTTTTTGTCTTTCTTTGAATCGTGAGATTAAAATTAATTTATACCTTTCTTTCTACAAACTAATTCTTTCTCCCTGTATCATAACCTTATATGCAATCTTTCTTCTACATATTACAATCATTGAAGTAACCGCTTTTATGAATTTATTGTTCATCTTGTTATGCTGATGACGTATAGCAACTTGGACCGATGCATATATGTGACCGTTCCTACACTGCAGCTGACTGGCTTACTTTAGTTCATAAGAATGTATGCATATAATACAGTATAGTTTAGAATTTTATTACAATCACTAGCACTTCATACTTTTCTTCCATTAAAATTATTGTCACTATATATATATATAATTGAAAACAACATTGTTCGCTTATATACGTTATTTTAACAAGCATTAATGTTTATGCAATATTGCTCATTATGTTTGGTATCGGTTTGAAAAAGATCTAGACATTCATACATTGTCTTACTCTTTTTAGAACTACCACTACTACTACTCCGATAAGTCGTTGAACTTATCACGTATTACCATTTTCATTAATTTTACTAAATTGACCGTTGTTTTTTCTCATATTTTAATGATAAACAAATCATATTTGTAAAGGCTCAAGCTGAAACATTGAATCAACGAGCTGTGATACAACAATTGAACCAACAATTAGAAAATATGGAAGCTGTTCTTCAACATTTACGCGATGAACATGAGCAAACAACGATTAAGCTACATGAAGAACGAAAGTAAGAAATCTCCGATGTGTTGTTTTGTCATTGATATTTTAATGATTTCTATTTATCAATTCTGTTAAATCAAGTTTATTCAAAACATTGGTATAATTATTATCCAGTTATAATGGAAAATTCATATTTTGAAATAAAACAGAAAAAATACAATGATGTGTACTAATCCAAACAGTTACAATTAATGTAGTCATAGCTACCTTAAATAAAAAGAATAAAATAGAAATAGTGATATCAAAAATAATGTGGTAAAGTTGAAAAACGTTAAAAAAAGCATAAAACAAGTAAATATGAAGATTGAGTACAATTTACAATATTTGTATTGGAGAACGGACTTTAAATGCTTACCTTCAACACTTACTGATTTTCCGTCATCTATCTACTGATTAATGGTATCTTATGAAATTCAAATAGAAACGTTATTCGTCTTTGGATAATTTAAATTAACAAGTAATGAGTTATTAAATTGATGGTATATGTTCTCTTTAACAAAATCACGTCTAATACTCTATTTTTACTCAACATGTAGTTTTCTAATTTGAACTAGAATAAGAATATTTACACACCTGACCACCTGTTTAACTATTTTCACCTATTCTTACTATCAGAGTAGCTTCGTTAAACTCATAGTGTAAACGGTTGGGTATAGATTTTTCCAAGTAAGGTCCTTCCAATTCTATATGTGCATACATTCACTATGTAGTTAGTTGAACTTCTTTCTTTAAGTTATTTAGCTCTAAGATTCGTTTTTCTGTTACTTTGAGTGTACATAAGACGTAGTACTTGTGAGTGTGAATGGTGTTCTCGGATCAATGTTTTCTTGTGTTCAGCTTCACAAACATCAGATCGGGTCATCATTAGCAAATGTGAGTTTCCATAAATATTTAATCATTGACGTTCAAGCAGAGAGTTGTGTGATCATTATCTTTGAGCATAGATCTTGTGTGCAAATTTTTATGCCTAGTACTTGGACGCTTAGACTTAAACTTCCTAACCACTATCCAGAAACCTTCTACTACTGAACTTCGTACATGAAAACAGTATATATATATATATATATATATATATATATATATATATATATATATAGTGCGTAAACCTGAGCTTCTAGAAGCTTTTCTAAAATACGCTAAAATCAGTGATAAACCAAAGACAACGCAATATCCTGTTCTCATGAATTATCTTGGAAGTTCTTAACAAACACTGACTGGTCAAAGTATTCTCGCCAATCTTACAACTTTTAAAATTTTTTTCAAGGGATTTTTAAGAGTTCTGAGTACAAATAACTTGATTGATAATTTTTGACGCTCAATTTAACTTTTCAATACGTATATTTATGTAGTGTTAGACGAGCACTATGCATGTTTTTGAATTTAAAACGTAAATTTCCTGTTTATTACTGAGGATTTATGACTGTGTATATTTGACAGACTACAAGAATAATCATGAGAGCCCGATTGAACTGAAATGAATTCAATTCAGTTCAATTGGGCTCTCATCACTTACTTACAACAGATAATATTTAAAAAACAACATTATACAAATTTGATTTGTCGAAAATTCTGAGAAAGTTTATGCATGCTGAAAATCAAATTAAAAAGATTCAGTAAATTGCTAGAATTAGTTATCATAATTAAACTAAAGTTCTGGTGTATCGATTAAGAAAATGACAAAATATGTCGAAGCTTAAAACAAGCGTTCATGTATTAAACTGAACAGAAAATTACGATTGTTAGAAGAAAAATTCATTCGATTAAAACAAAATTATAACTTGGAAAGATATATTCATATGACATAGTTTTTTCTTGATATTTACTTGACATAATTAGTAAGTCATTGATGGATATTAGATTTGGTTTATACATGATACATTCATGTGATGCATTGTATACTGAATTGGAGGTATTATAGTAACACTGAAAAATAAGCTTGAATGTCCTGGCTTCATTCTTTGGGTAGCTTCATAGGTGCGCTCTACTGATTAACATTAAATAAAAATGGTATAGTTTCTTAGTTTTCAATGGTTGCCCAGTTGAATTTAGTTCATGGTGTAAATACCCTTCAGATGAATTGATCGGCCGAAGCAGATATATATATATATATATATACATATATATATAGTTAATTTATGTTTTTCTCTGTTATACCTAATTAACTTTGTCCTTGAAAAGTTCGGAATGCAATCCAACTTTATTCAATAAACAGGTGTGATATTCATTGTACAATTTGACCTTAAAGTTTATTATATATAACTAGTTCATGCAACACAACTCAATTATTTATTCACTTATGATCTGATTTTATACCCTTCATTATTGTTCTGTACATGTTTCTTTTTCATCATGGTTACTGACACATGCTTTTAAAATAGTATATTCTCTATTTATCGGGACGTTTGAACTGTCATATGCAAATATTTTGTGTTTGAGTAGAAAAATTGTTTTATGGTCCTTTTCGATTGCAGTACGCGCTTCCTACTGTCTTCTCAACCAGCTATCCAGAACAAGACTGGAAATGTATAGAAAGCCTACTACAGTGTGAATAAATGTATACATAAGTCATGTGACAATATAAATATAATTAATTCATTCACCAAGTACTTTGGTATGAGTTAGTGAGGGTTGTCTGGTTACCTTAAACGGAAGTGGATGGAATGAGGCTCGAATCTAGAACTTGGCAATGGAAATTTAGACGCCACTCCACCCATAAGTCATGAGTATATATGTATAAAACACTGAATGGATCCAGATACAAATTTAAGCGGTCAACTTGACGAGAATTAAAAAACTACTCGCTCACAATAAGCATGTCTACACGTGCATTTTTCACTTACCATGTATATTTACTTTAGCATATGATCTCTCTGAACTTGTCCAACCTCTTACCTGTCTCTACCGTTAAGTTTTCATCCTTGGATTCGTTTGTTCCAGTTGATATCAAGGCATATTAGGAACATCAATTCGTTTAAGATTACAAGTATAGTTTACTGGTGTGAGACATTTAACACGAAACATAGATCGGGAATTTTTAACACCAAACAAAGTTTATATCTTGTTTGTCATACTTGTTGGCTATTTAATAAAATTATAAGTGAGGATAATTATTTATTGTTTTATTTCTCTTATATTTATTAAAATTGAAATAGAAATCTTGAAGATTTACAATTTCGAATAGAAGAAGAAAACATTGACAAGAGCACAGTTGAATCACAGAATGCAGACGATGAATCGAAAATATTTGAACTGGAAGAAGCTTTAATGTCAGCTCGTGAAACGAATGAACGAATGGAATTAGAATTAAATAAATTACGAATAGAATTAAATGATATTTTACAAAAACAAGCAAAAGCTTTAAATCAGAATGATGAAAACAAATCACAAATCCAGGCAAGTGAACTAACATAAGAAGTTTTTTTCGTACAGCTTTATTTCCAATAGTTATCGATATGAACATTTTCAATTAAATAATAATAATAATATCAACGTTGCTTATTGTTTGTAGTTTAGTGTCAATGGAATATCTTATCTGTCAGCATTTTATTTATTTATTTAAACAAACATTGGTACAAGGAGGCACCAAATATATATGAGTCACGCTGTCATTCGATTTGTGTGAGGGCTGGAATACTTCTCGGGCGCCCAAACCGAAGTAGGATCTGTCAACAGTTATGCAAATCAATGTGTTCTGTTCTAACATATAGTTTATGGCTTGATATCACTGGTGGTAACATCTTATTTTCTCCTTGACAAAATACAAAATTGCTTTGTTTATCAGTAGGTTATATCATGTTAGTTTGAAGAGTCACTTCGCCGATGAGCCTGAAAAGCATGGAGAACAACTGGAAAGAGATCAAGGAGGCAATCACTTCAACATGTCATGAGGTTCTGGGCCACAAGAAACATCATCACAAGGAATTGGTCACTGTTGGGACACTGGATAAGATTGAAGAAAGGAGGAAAAAGAAGGCAGCAATCAATACCAGCCGAACAAGAGCAGAAGAAGCCAAGACACAAACCGGATACAAAAAAGTAAACAAGCAAGTGAAGAGGAGCGTAAGAACCGACAAACGTAATAATGTGAAAGGTTTAGCAATGACGGCCGAAAGGGCTGCAGTAGAAGGAGAAATGAGACAATTGTATGATACAACAAAGGGGCTCTCTGGAAATTACCGTAAACCAGAACGACCAGTGAAAAGCAAGGAAGGCAAGATGATCACCAACATTGAATGGAATTCATCACATCAACTTCATTGGCTTCGAGAAGGCATTTGATAGCGTGGACAGGACAACATTATGGAGGCTTTTTAGGCACTACGGCGTGCCTGAGAAAATAGTCAATATCATACGCAATTCCTATGACGGATTAAACTGCCAAATCGTGCGTGGAGGACAGTTCACTGATTCGTTCGAAGTAAAGACCGGTGTCAGGTAAGGTTGCTTACTCTCACCCTTTCTTTTCCTCCTGCTGATGGACTGGATCATGAGGACGTCAACATCTGGAGGGAAGCTCGGGATACAATGAACAGCTGGACGATTTAAGCTTCGCAGATGATCTGGCTCTTCTATCACGCACGCAACAACAAATGCAGGAGAAAACGACCAGTGTAGCAGCAGCCTCAGCTGCAGTTGGTCACAACATACACAAAGAGAAAGGCAAGATTCTCCGATACAACACAACATACACCAATCGAATTGCACTTGACGGAGAAGCTTTGGAGGATGTGAGAACGTTTACATATCTGGGCAGCATCATTGATGAACACGGTGGATCTGATGCAGACGTGAAGGCGTGGATCGGCAAAGCAAGAGCAACATACCTACAACTGAATAACATCTGAAACTCAAAACAATTGTCAACGAACACCATGATCAGAATTTTTAATACAAATATCAAGACAGTTCTACTGTATGGGGCGGAAACCTGAAGAACTCCGAAGGCCACCATTCATAATATACAAGTGTTTATCAGCTGTCTACGCAAGATACTTCGGATCGGTTGGCCAGACACTATCAGCAACAAGTTACTGTGGGAGACCACAAACTAGATTTCAGTGGAGGAAGAAATCAGGAGGAAGCGCTGGAAGTGGATTGGGCACACTTTGAGGAAATCACCCAATTGCGTCACAGGACAAGCCCTCACATGGGGTCTATGCAAACTATAAATGTTATTTATCATATACCCTTCAAATTTCATTAGCGTACTTTCTTTTACTTTCGAAAGTAACAGCAGTTAAGAGTAGAAGATGTAAAAATACATTTCCTTTTTTCGTGTTCTCTAGATTGCTTGTGCGTTGTTTTTGAGGTATAATTCCTCTATTGGTGTTGTAAAGCTTCATCGACAGAAGATATAATGACGTAAATTAATAAAGTTGTAGATCTTGATGTCATCATGTAGAAAGATATCGATTATACGGTGTACTGTACTTGTTTATAAAAAATAAGTGATCCCATTTTATAAGTCCCATTGCTTCACGGCCAGTTATTTATTTCCCACTGGTGCATCTCAAGAATTTTGCTCCTTGGCTGATCGTGTTGTTTTTTCCGTACGTTGCTCAAGTGTTCGACATTTTGAGTTTCCAGATTATTTCATGATGTTCTTCATTCTACCAGTCAACTAATTGACACAAATCTTTAGTTGTGATAATACTGTTTTTCGTCAGTTTTCGTTACTGCAATTATTTTTTCCAGTCTCTATATTATATATTTTCAATTTATGCACGTAGGGAAAACCATCTCTTCAATTAACTGGACTTGTATCTGAGACATCTATTACTCCAACTGAAAACGAAGGCGAGTCTTTACAAAATGAATGTGAACGGTTACGTCATTTGTTGGCTGAGCGTCAGACTGAAGTAGAAATTATGCTAAAGCATCAAGCTGAAACAATTGAGTCATTAACTGTTGAGTTTAATGGACAAGTTGAAAAACTAAATTGTCAGTTGCAGAATTCTTCAAAGTATGTTTGTCTTATCCTTGTAATTTGCCAAGTTATTTTAAAAAGATTTTAACAACTTTAGAAATCGTTCTATTTGATACTATGAATTTCGGAATAACGAATAATTCTCATCACCAATTGTGCAATAATACAATAAATAAATCTTCAAATTGCAATAATTCAAAGCATATTTTGAAAGTGTTTTCAACAGTCAATGTTTTGTTACAAGTTTCAGCTGCTATACACATTTTTTTCATTTATCATATATAAGACGCTTGAATTCTTATATTTTCGTCTCTCGTTTTGTCAATGAATAGATGAAAAAGGAAATGTGCCAATGTTTAGTGCTTCAGTTTGAGTTTACCAGTACTTAGATTGACAATAATTTGTAGTTATTTCATAATAGCTCGTCAGTACATGCAGCTTTCATAAATTTTCAGTTCAAACAAGTCATAAGTAGGCTGTTTACTTGAAATATTTGTACAGTTGAAAAATAGGTGGGCTGAATGTTTGACCGTCAGGTCAACGTTTATTTCTATAACGTATTAAATGGTTAGTTTTTTCTACTTTCTTCCCCTTAAATTAGTTACTTACTTACGCCTGTTACCCCTCGTCGGGAGCATAGGCCGCTCACCAGCATTCTCCATCCAACTCTGTCCTGAGCCTTCCTTTCCAGTTCTTTCCAGCTGTTATTCATTCTTTTCATATCTGCTTCTATTTCCCGGCGTAATGTGTTCTTTAGCCTTCCTCTTTTCCGCTTCCCTTCTGGATTCCAAGTTAGGGATTGCCTTGTAATGCACATTGGTGATTTCCTTAATGTATGTCCTATCCACTTCCAACGTCTTTTCCTAATTTCCTCAAGAAATACCCTTCCACGGTGTGGACAGCCGGGAAGTGATAAATGCCCTCATACCCGTAACAGCACACGAGACCAAGTTGGTCACTTTCAAATCCTTCCTACACCTCCTAACAACTCTCTTATCTCCACGACTAACCCTTCCCACGTCCTTTTATCACCTCGCACCGCTAGGGCAAACGATTCAAGTACACGGAACGTTATTCCTGGTCTCCTGAAACCTCGCTCTAAACTACATGTAGGAACTTTTAATGTCCGAACATTGTGTCAAATAGGACAACAGGCTTCCTTAGCTACGACTCTAGAATCTTACACCATCGATGTATGCTGCGTCTCCGAGACGCGCATACAAGATCCGAGTAGCGTCATTCATTCGACCTCACCTAATCAAAATAAAGAACCATCTCGATACACACTTCGTGTATCTGGAAGCCCTGATGCTACTTCCCGTGGCCTCGCTGGAGTAGGTATAGCATTAAGTCCTAGGGCAGAACTAGCTCTTTTAGACTGGATCCCAGTAGACAGTCGTCTATGCGCTGTCCGACTAAACGGATCAGTAAGGACTCGGAAAGATAGGGGAACTCGTCGTTATCTCTGCCTACTCTCCCACTGACTGCAGCTCGGACGATATAAAAGATGAGTTTTACAGGAAACTTTCTGACCTTCTCCGAAAAGCTAAGCGTTCTGATGTAGTAATAGTAGCAGGTGACTTTAATGCTCAAGTAGGTAAACTAAGTGAAAGGGAAAGACACCTGGGTGGATCTTATGGTGTCATGGCGGAAAGAACAGATAATGGCGACCGTCTGTTGCAGCTGTGCTCAGATAACCGTCTGTTTCTTGCAAGTACTAACTTTAAGCATAAGGAAAAACATCTTTTGACATGGCGACCCCCGAATTCGTCCCAACGTTGGACCCAATTAGATCACATCGCTATCAGCCACCGATGGAGGGGCTCGATAGAAGACTGTCGCTCATTCTGGAGCACATGTTTAGATTCAGATCATGCTCTAGTGCGAGCACGTATCTGTCTGCGACTTACTGGACGTAGAAAAGACACTGCAGGGAAGCCTCTAAGGGTTCTACTTAATGATAAGCAAGCTAAGAATATATTTCAGGAACAACTGGAAAAACGGTTAGACAGACATGTAAGTTGTGTCCACCCCGAAGCAGCGTGGAATGACATCCGTAAGGCTGTGGAAACAGCTGTGATATCCGCTAGTAAGGTAAGCCATAAGGTCAGGGAGAAACAATGGATCTCGGCAGCATCTACCGTACTGATAGATGCTCGAAAACTCATCCCTCCTGCCTCTGAACATAAAGAAGAGCGGAGTCAGCTTAAGCGAAGGCTAATAAGAAGCCTACGCAATGATCGTGAACAGTGGTGGGTAGCGAAAGCAAGAGAGATGGAAAAGGCAGCGGCAATAGGTAACAGCAGACAGCTGTTCAGACTTATTAAAGAAACCGGCATTAGGAACCCAACTATTAGCGAACCTATCTCAGACAAAGACGGGCATATCATTCATTCTCAATCCAGGAAATTGGATAGATGGGCAGAACACTTTGGGGATCAGTTCAACTGGCCTTCAGCCACACTTCAGTTACCCACGATCCCCAGTCGTCCTGAATGGCAAATTGAGGTAAGTCCTCCAACTCTCCACGAGGTTGAAAAAGCTATAGGAAATCTAAAGCGAGGGAGAGCCACAGGCACTGACAGGTTTACCCCTGAGATTTTTAAGGATGGTGGTCCAGTACTAGCAACGAGATTGACTGAGGTCTTAGGTAGAATCTGGGAACTGGACGTAATTCCATCTGACTGGTCCCAATCACTGATTGTGCCAGTCTATAAGAAAGGACAAAAGTCCTCCTGTGACAATCACAGAGGAATCAGTTTGACTAATATAGTGTCTAAAATATTAGCTTCAATAATACTTGGACGCCTAACCAAAGCTCGTGAAGAGCAGACTAGAGAAAACCAAGCTGGTTTTCGACCTGGACGTGGTTGCATAGATCAGATATTCACCCTACGTCAGGTTCTAGAACATAGACACAAATTCAGACGTCCCACAATAGTAGTATTTCTTGACCTTAAGGCGTCATTTGACTCCGTTGATCGTGAGGTTCTATGGCAATGTTTGTCACTGAAAGGAGTACCAAAGAAGTACATTAACCTCATTAAGGCTCTCTACTCGAACACAACTGGTCGAGTTAGAGCCTATGGCGAACTGTCATCAGAATTGGTTACCTCAAGTGGTGTTCGTCAGGGCTGTCCACTCTCCCCATTCTTGTTTAACTTTGTCGTTGACATGCTTTTAAAGGTAACACGTTCGTCATCTCAATCTCCTGGAGTTGAACTTTTACCAGGAGGCTCACTTGTTGACTTAGAATACGCCGACGACATAGTTTTATTCGGTGAAGACTCTGACAAAATGCAGAGTCTTCTGACCACTATAAGCAACAATGCAGGCATGTTCGGCATGCGATTCTCTCCCTCGAAGTGCAAAATGTTACTTCAGGATTGGGTTGCATCGACACCTGAATTAATGATAGGGATTGAAGTAGTCGAGCGTGTTGACAGTTTCACTTATCTTGAGAGTCTCATCAGCCCTTGTGGTCTGGTGTGTGACGAAATCTCAGCACGGATACAGAAGGCTCGTCTAGCTTTCGCCAACTTGCGTCATTTATCGCGTAGGCGAGACATCCGTCTAGCAACCAAAGGACGGGTTTACTGTGCAGCAGTCCGTTCCGTCCTACTTTATGGCAGTGAAACATGGCCGATAAGAGTAGAGGATATTCGTAGGCTACTAGTATTCGATCATAGGTGTCTTCGACGCATTGCTCGTATATCCTGAGACCACCGGGTAAGTAATGCAGATGTTAGGAAACGGGTACTAGGTAAGGATGGCAAATCGATTGATGAAGTAGTGAAACTTCATCAGTTGAGATGGCTGGGACATGTGTTACGTATGCCCAACCACCGACTGCCCCGACGTGCAATGCTTTATGGTGTAGGAGCAGGTTGAAAGAAAGCTAGGGGCGGCCAGACCAAAACATGGCATAAATCCATGAAGTCACTGACAAGTGGACTGGGCCGTGTTGGTAGGTGTAGACTACTTGGTTGGGATTCGCGAGATGATAGCAATCGATGGTTAGAGACCTTGAATGACATGGCTCAAAATCGTTTGCAATGGCGAAGGTGCATCCACTATTTGTGTTCTACCGAATTCTAATCTGAATTCTTCATGTCTGTATCCTTTTTCTCTTTCCAAATTTATTTCATTGTATTATACTCCTTCAATAACATCTTCAAACCCTAATCTTTCACATTAATGCTTATACTCTTACTACTTCTACCAATATGGGATTTGAATCGACAACTTCATCTCTGTGCTAATGTGGTATGGCAACTCGAACTGATGTACGTACGTACGTACGAAGTTCTACGTTGTAACTGACTGACTGAATTTCCTCTTCAGCTTGAAGCTAGTTTGTCCTCTCCAGTAAAACGCTATTGCTGATAGTGTCCGGCCAATGGATGTTGAGCATTTTGCTTAAACAAGTGTTTATAAATACTTGTGCCTTCTTGTCGGTGGATGTAGTAGTTCTCCACGTTTCAGATCAGTACACTAGGACTGTCTTGACTTTCGTATTGAAGATTCTGACTTTGAAATTAGTTGAGAGTTGTTTTGAGTTCCAGATGTTCTTCAGCTGTGGACATGTCACTCTTCCTTTGCCAATCCTCGCCTTTACATCTGCATGTGATACTCCTTGTTCATCAACGATGCTCCCCAGGTACGTGAATGTTTCCACCTCTTCCAGAGTTTCACCATCAAGTGTGATTGGGTTGGTGTTCTCCGTGTTGCATTTGAGAATCTTGCTTTTTCCTTTGTAAATTTGGAGGCCTATCGATGCGGAGGCTGCTGCTACATTTGCTGTCTTCATCTGCATTTGTTCGTGTGTATGAGAGAGGAGGGCTAGGTCATCTGCGAAGTCCAAATCATCTAATTGATTCTGAGAAGTCCATTGTATTCCGTATTTCCCTTCAGATGTTGAAGTCTTAATCCAGTCAATCACCAGAAGGAAGAGGAAGGGTGAAACTAGACAGCCTTGTCTGACTTCGGTCCTTACTGGAAATGCGTCTGTCAGCTGTCCTCCATGCAAGACTTTGCACTGTAGTCCATCGTATGAGTTCTGGATGATGTTGACAAACTATTCAAGAACTCCATAGTGTCGAAGAAGTTTCCATAATGTTCTCCTGTCCACGCTGTCAAACGCCTTTTCATAGTCAATGAAGTTGACGTATAGTGATGAGTTCCACTCAATTGATTGTTCAACGATGATCCGTAGTGTCGCAATTTAGTCTGTGCGCGACCGTTCCTTCCGGGATCCAGCCTGTTGATCTCGAAGTTGGGCGTCTACTGTGCCTTTCGTCCGATTCAGCAGCACTCTGTTGAAAACTTTTCCTGGTACTGATAACAAACTGATGCCTCTGCAATTCTCATATTTGCTCAAATCTCCTTTCTTTGGTATCTTGATGAGGTATCCTTCTTTCCAGCCCGTTGGTACTTGTTCCTCTTCCCAAATCTTCTTGAATAGAAGGTGAAGCATATTTGCAGTTATTTCAATGTCTGACTTCAGTGCTTCTGCTGGTATATTGTCAGGTCCTGCCGCCTTCCCACTTTTGATTTGTCTGATGGCCATCTTGACTTCTTCGATCGTTGGTGGAGTGACATCTATTGGAAGGTCAGTGTGTGCTGCTTCGATGTTCGGTGGGTTCAATGGGGCTGGTGTATTTAGCAGTTCCTCGAAGTATTCTGCCCATCTTTTCTTTTGTCCTTGACTGGTCTCTCCGGTTTATTATATCTCCCTGCCAATTTCTTCGTTGTATCATATAGTTGTCTCATATTCTCTTCTCTTGCAGCTTTTTCTGCCGTCGTTGCTAGTTCTCCCATGTATTTCTGCTTGTCGGCCTTAACGCTTTTCTTCACTTCCTTGTTTGCTTCTCCTTAAATTAGTGATAACCTGTAATTCTCGCTCATTTTCACCTTATTTTTCTACCCATTTAGTTAAGTTCAATCCTTTACCTTAATCGTAATATTATCATATGACATGACGCAACAAATAGTTCTTCATTAATATTCGGAACTAAACTTAATTATTAGATTTCGACTCTTACTTTTCATTTCGTCAATTTCTCATTGCAATGTTGAAATTGTATAACATCTTAGCTTGTTTCATATTTTTACATTATCCCAGTTTCAGTTTGACTGACTGTGATTTGCGGAAATTCGTGGGTATTTTTATAGAATTTTTTTCCCGACAGTTGTGCACGTTAAGCCTAGCCACCCAAACTAGTGACCGTGTTGCAACTTGGTTGATAGAATTTGATTGACACTGAAGATCTAGACAGATATGACATCAATCACTACCTAATGGTCGATCAGCCGTAAAAATTTGTCAGGACGCTAGTCGCTGCACGAATAGTTCAGTGGTAAGGTCTCAGGCTGTTAAGCTAGGTGACATAGAATTAAATCCTTCAGGGAACACCGGTTTCCTCGCGATTACAGATACACTTTGCCGATGTGCTCTCAATTGCGCAAAACTTAAGTCCAGGTTTTCATGTCAGCTACCACCAACTACCTCACATCATTCCATTGAAGTCATTTGGGCAAAGAAAACGATATAAACGTTAAACGTGAATGTTATTTTTCTTATTCTTATCTATGCATATTGTTATTATTAGACTGCCATTTATTTATAAGTGTACTCCGTCGTCGGTTCATTACACGACTTGACTATTCCACGTAATAAATTAAACCACATCAGTTATTTATGCCTTTATATTTGTTATTCAGTCATTTATATCTTACAACGCTTATCCAACTTATAATGTTTCATAATAAGAATTTATTCACACTTTTTATAGCTGGTCTGTTTCCTTGTTTTAGTGAAATTCAGACCTTCAAAAATGAGAATAACCTACTAAAACAACAGAATAATGAATTAGTCCTAAGTTTAAAGAGTCAAATTGATCAGTTAAATGAACAATTGGCAGAACAGGAAAAAATTGCTAGTGAAAAATTATCCATGTTTGAAAATCGGATTAAAGAGTTGGTAAGCTTATTTTAACAGTATTATTTATTCAAGGTTTGGTCTATGTTAGGTGGTTAGAGGCAGTCAGAAGGAAGCTCGGAACCCAAGTTTTATATCAGTTGAGACTGGTTAGCAAGGCACGTATACGTTTGAGAGGGAGCTGATGATGTCTATGAAATCTAAACCCTTGTGATTCAGTGTCAGTCAGTTATAAAAAATGTTGAGCCTGGGGAAAATGTGCGTTAGCCCGATTTACCGGACTAATTGAGCATAACAATATGAAATGACCGGAATGAGTGGCAGATGAGTCGGAATAATGTTGTAGGAGTGATCATGCGAAAGACCGCATTGAGAATATGATTCAAAAAGGAATTACGGAAAGGCATGTTTGAAAGAATATTGAAATTCAAGATATAGAATAAAATCAAAAATAAGTACATCCAGCCATTGTGAGCCATTCTGCCCAAGGTCAGTCAGTCGGCTGCAATGTACGAACAGTCACATATATGCATCGGTCCAAGTTGCTATACGTCATTAGCACAACAAGATGAACACTAAATTCATAAAGGCTGTTACTTCAATGGTTGTAATATATATATATATATATATATATATATATATATATATATATATATATATATATATATTGTAAGCCACTTCTCCAGAGAATAAAAATAAATGAATTAGATTAATACAAGTTTGAATTATACAAAGGACATGAAGCGGAGTAATTTTAGTACAATCGAAATTGAAATAGATCTAATCATGCTTATGTTATGTTATTTTGGTCTAGGTAGTTTTTGATGTGTTTTTTATTTATTATTTATTTAAACACATATTGGTGCGAAGGGGCACCGAATACATATGCGCCACACAAGTCACTTGATTTGTGTGTGGGCTGTGATACTGCCCAGGTGCTCCAACCGAATTAGTTGCTTTTCTTAGGGGGCCACACCCCGAGCCTTCGGCCTAAAAGTCTGATCCAAAAGGCAGTGGAGCAACAAAAGGAGATGCAGTTCCATGGTAGTCGGTGACCAACAGTAGGTCCATACGTCATTTGTTCCCTCAGGATCCCGGAGCCCATATACACTGTTGGTTTGGGATTCGAGTTTTTCAACTCTCCTAAGTGGACCCTCTCCCCACCTCGGGCGTTCTAAGGCATTTTGGGGCCTAGCTGTGTGTATGTGTGTTGGCAGGTATGAAAAATGTATTTGTTTTGTAAAAGAGTAAGGTTGGGTGTCTTTGTATGTATGTATATAAGAGTATTCTAGGATATAAACTATGAGCATAGAAACTAGTAGACGTAATCAAAAGTAACGTAAGGCGGAAATTGGTCCACACATGACTGTCTTGATGAGCAGTTCATTTGATACTAATGCACGAAGGGATTCATCCATTCAGCTTTCCTTATAATTGCAAAATCGTGATGTTTGTAATTTAGAAAGGTTACTTAACAAAGGTCAAAATGATTTGCAATAAAGTGTCCTGTAACAATCAGTATAATAGTAATTTACGAAAAATGAAAATGCGAAAAAATTGTGTGAATAAAATGCATAGTAGGAGAATTTCATCTTGTTAAATGAGATAATAATGATAAATAGTAATAATAATAAGATTGGTGTGTGAATATAATATGTAATAAGAGGAGTGTTATCAAGGTAATTACGATAAACGAATTGGGATTGATGGATGTGAAAATTAGGTAGGGGTGATAAAAAAAGGGGGGAGTGGTTTATAATATTTAGTTTTAGATATCCGGTGAACCAATCACAGAACAAGGTAAACATGGAGGCTGGATATACCTTTTCTGGAGTTGATCCAGATGGTTTCGGCTATGTAAAGTAATCGTAGTCTAGCTCATTAAGGTAGATTTTTCGGAACTTGATATAAAACGGAGAAAGCTTCCTCTATTTTGATATGATGTTCACTATCTACCAAGTGAGAAATGATGGTGCTGTTAATGGATTTGGTGACTCCTTTTCCCAACCACGCTGGTACATGTTCACGAATACGCAAGGATAAGGCCCTCTGAGTACGGCCTATGTAACTAGCTCCACAGGAGCAGTTGAATTGGTATACACATATGGAAGAGCCAATCTTCGGTAACTTATCCTTGATTAGTTGTGTAAGTGCTGGTTTAGTTGAGAAAGTGATGTGTAGCTTGGCAGCGTAAAACGTCCTTTCAACCGATCTTTTCAATCGGCGTGTTAGAATATCCCCCGCTATGTCACCTTTAAAGTCCAGTTTCAGGTACAAGGTTTTTTTTACTCACTGTGTCGCAATTTCTTTTTTTTTATTGATATTTTCTACTAGGTATTTTTTAACGAACTTATCTGGGTAGCCATTATTTCGCAATGTGTTTTTTAGTATATCTATTTCACTATCGACACTGTCCTCAGAACATAATAGCTTGATTCTGTGGCTGAGACATTTAACCAAATTTATTTTATACTGAAGAGGAGTGAAGCTTTGGAAATGGGTATACTGGCCCGTCCATGTATTCTTTCTAAATATATTTCGCTTTATGGAATCATCTCTCCCTCTAGAAAGTAGGACGTCGAGGAAAGCTATACTATTGTCTTTCTCTTTTTCGCTGGTGAATTTAATAGCTGGGTGGACGTTATTGAAAAAGTTCAACATCTGTTTGTTAACCATTTCGTCATATACGATTAGTGTGTCATCTATGTATCGACAGTAGTAGTCGAGCTTACTTAAGACGTCTTTTAACGGTCCAGTTCCCAGTTTGGCCAGAAAAATGTCAGCAAGGATCGGGCCTAGAGGTGATCCCATTGCTACTCCATCTACTCGTCCATAAAATTCACTATTAAACTTAAAATAGATATTCATAGTACATTTCAACAGAAGTTCTTTCATTTTACCTATTGGAATCGGTATCTCCATTTTCTTTTCTAGCACTTATTCACATATGTAATTGATAGTTTCAGTCAGGGGGATGTTAGTGAACAAGGATGCTATGTCTAGTGATAACATGGTTTTACCATTTATATATTTTTTATTGAATCCACAAATTCAAATACGTCTTTAACACTGTGTTTAACCAGTTCTTGGTGTAAGGGTTCTAATAATTTCACTAACCATTTTGCTGTTGAGTGGTATGGTGAGTTTGACATGTCCAGAATTGGGCGTAAAGGAACCTCAGGTTTGTGAATCTTAGGTAAGCCATAGAGTCGAGGGGTATATGTTCCAGAAGGCTTGAGTTCATTATAGGTATGCTCAGAGATATATTGACATTGTTTTAAGAATTTTAATGCTGCAGTTAGTTGACGTTCAGTCTTTTCATTGAGGTCTTTACATAAACCAGACTAAGCTGTATTTTTTTAAATTTTCCTCCGGTAATCTCGATAGGACTCAACTAGAGGTTTAATCATTAGGTCCTAAGTTTTGTGATTGTCGTCTGGAAAATTCGGTTTAAACATCTGGTTGCCTAGTCCTTTGATTAAGCCTATTCTCTTTTTGTTTTCCCTTGTTCTTTGTACTTCTAGGACATAAGTCATATATGAATCCTTTAGGTTTTGTGGAAGATTTTCGGCGGCATATAATCTCTGTGCAATATTCCTTTCTAACTCAACAGTATATTTTTGAAGAAATTCCATTTGACTAGGCGCATATCTTTTCAGTGATTTGATATTAGGTTTAATTTTACATCGACGTAAGGATTTTCATTAGGCTTTCGGATATCGGTGTGTAACAGTAAAATTACGGATAAAATCAAGATTGGTTTTTGCTTCTGTGAGTTTCGCACTATGCTTCAGGAACTCATTGAGTATACCCTACTGAATGAATACCCTACTGGGTGATCAAACTAAATTCCAAAAGCTTGGTTTATGTAAAGACCTCAATGAAAAGACTGAACGTCAACTAACTGCAGCATTAAAATTCTTAAAACAATGTCAATATATCTCTGAGCATACCTATAATGAACTCAAGCCTTCTGGAACATATACCCCTCGACTCTATGGCTTACCTAAGATTCACAAACCTGAGGTTCCTTTACGCCCAATTCTGGACATGTCAAACTCACCATACCACTCAACAGCAAAATGGTTAGTGAAATTATTAGAACCCTTACACCAAGAACTGGTTAAACACAGTGTTAAAGACGTATTTGAATTTGTGGATTCAATAAAAAATATATAAATGGTAAAACCATGTTATCACTAGACATAGCATCCTTGTTCACTAACATCCCCCTGACTGAAACTATCAATTACATATGTGAATAAGTGCTAGAAAAGAAAATGGAGATACCGATTCCAATAGGTAAAATGAAAGAACTTCTGTTGAAATGTACTATGAATATCTATTTTAAGTTTAATAGTGAATTTTATGGACGAGTAGATGGAGTAGCAATGGGATCACCTCTAGGCCCGATCCTTGCTGACATTTTTCTGGCCAAACTGGGAACTGGACCGTTAAAAGACGTCTTAAGTAAGCTCGACTACTACTGTCGATACATAGATGACACACTAATCGTATATGACGAAATGGTTAACAAACAGATGTTGAACTTTTTCAATAACGTCCACCCAGCTATTAAATTCACCAGCGAAAAAGAGAAAGACAATAGTATAGCTTTCCTCGACGTCCTACTTTCTAGAGGGAGAGATGATTCCATAAAGCGAAATATATTTAGAAAGAATACATGGACGGGCCAGTATACCCATTTCCAAAGCTTCACTCCTCTTCAGTATAAAATAAATTTGGTTAAATGTCTCAGCCACAGAATCAAGCTATTATGTTCTGAGGACAGTGTCGATAGTGAAATAGATATACTAAAAAACACATTGCGAAATAATGGCTACCCAGATAAGTTCGTTAAAAAATACCTAGTAGAAAATATCAATAAAAAAAAAGAAATTGCGACACAGTGAGTAAAAAAAACCTTGTACCTGAAACTGGACTTTAAAGGTGACATAGCGGGGGATATTCTAACACGCCGATTGAAAAGATCGGTTGAAAGGACGTTTTACGCTGCCAAGCTACACATCACTTTCTCAACTAAACCAGCACTTACACAACTAATCAAGGATAAGTTACCGAAGATTGGCTCTTCCATATGTGTATACCAATTCAACTGCTCCTGTGGAGCTAGTTACATAGGCCGTACTCAGAGGGCCTTATCCTTGCGTATTCGTGAACATGTACCAGCGTGGTTGGGAAAAGGAGTCACCAAATCCATTAACAGCACCATCATTTCTCACTTGGTAGATAGTGAACATCATATCAAAATAGAGGAAGCTTTCTCCGTTTTATATCAAGTTCCGAAAAATCTACCTTAATGAGCTAGACTACGATTACTTTACATAGCCGAAACCATCTGGATCAACTCCAGAAAAGGTATATCCAGCCTCCATGTTTACCTTGTTCTGTGATTGGTTCACCGGATATCTAAAACTAAATATTATAAACCACTCCCCCCTTTTTTTATCACCCCTACCTAATTTTCACATCCATCAATCCCAATTCGTTTATCGTAATTACCTTGATAACACTCCTCTTATTACATATTATATTCACACACCAATCTTATTATTATTACTATTTATCATTATTATCTCATTTAACAAGATGAAATTCTCCTACTATGCATTTTATTCACACAATTTTTTCGCATTTTCATTTTTTCCCAGATTGGAAAATCCTTTCCAAACTATTGTAATATTATTAGCATCGATTTATTGGTTTTCAAAATTAGTACATTCTAATATTCCTGATGTGATATGTTGATTTTGTAGACTGACTATTTTATTTGGAGGTCTTTTATTGTGGCCTTGGCGTTCTTTGACACGAGTCGTGATTTCACGAGAAAACATGGCATCGGTCTATGAAGTCACTGCTATTGAGACTTGACCATGTTATTATCTATAGGTTACGTGGTTGCGGTCCGTGTGATTATCGTAACCAGTGTTCAGCGGCTTTGAATAACATTGCTCGGAATCGATGGCAACGACACTGATGTATCCATTTTTTGTCTTCTAGCAAATTCTGAGGTTCTAAATTCCTTATGAAGTTTCTTGTTTTCATTTTGTTAATTTATATTTTCTTTTCGAATCCTATCTTCGATGCCTAATCTTTTATATTACTACTGGTTCATTTACTACCTCTACTATTCTGGGATTTGGCCTGACACTTTCACTCTCTCTATGCTAATGAGGTATGGCATTTTGAACCGGTGTACAGGTGTACCAGGTTCTAAGTTATGACTGACCGAGTAATATATATAAATATATAGAAATATATTTTGTTATTTATTTATATAGAATGATTTATTAGACGCAGAGAAAACTAAATCAACCTCATCTTCTAATCAGTCCCAGATGACCAGTGGAGATTTAAAGAAACTAAAAGACCAACAAAATGCAACTATGCAAGAGTTATCTGATTATCAGGTAAATGAAATGCATTATAGAATACTCTTCTAATAACTGTATACGTTGTTTGTTTGTGTGCTTTTTAACTTATGAAATCACTTGTTATAGTTGTTAGCATTGAGATAGATTCATTGTTTCTTTATATATTGAATACAGTCCAATTATTTTAACTGTTCACTTGAATCTTTCACATGATTCAGATAGAAATTATAAAGTTAGTCATGCTACTTGATTATTAAATGTTAATCTATTAATTCCTACCGCAGACCAGTTGTAAATGATCCAATAAGCTTAGTAATATAGTTAAATATTCTTCCGAATCAAATAACTTATTACCACTGACCAAATCCTCCACAATTCATAAGTAAATTTTATCCATTTTATTTTGATTGTAGAGTATTAAAGAGAGTGCTTCATGCATGATTTTAATATTAATGAATATTGACAATGTAATATTTTAATTACTTTTAATAAGTTGCATTAACTTAAACTATTTCCATTCTATTGTGTACCTCATAATCCGTGTGTAGTCAACACTGACGATGTATTTGTACATTTGCATTCTTTTTTTCCAACTGACTCAAACGAACATCTTCATCATCACTCAGTTTAGAAGAGATATGTGATTATTTTACGAGCGCAACCGACTATTTACGGACTAATTAATCGTTTATGATATTTGAAATATCTAGGTCTTTCTTTTTTCTAAAACAAAAGAAATACTTAATCGTAATCTGTTTATTAAATTATTAGTTCGTCACTAATTGGAGTTTCATTTTCTAAAATACTGGTCATTATAATTCATTGTGTAAACTGGTCGTTTATATTGATGAAACTCTTAATTAACACCAAGAAAATGTAGTATGCTTATGTATTGGGCTAATAAATCGTAGTTTTAATTTGATGGATTACATTGTCCTCTGTCATTGTTATTCATTACGTCAGGGAAATTTGTAATCATTATTTAGAAACTTTCTTAGTGTTTTGTATGTTGTTTACGCTCAGCTACTGCCTTTTTAACGTTCTATTTAAGTTATTGTAGGACCAAGTCCATTGTATATATAACATCAGTTCACAAACCTATTGATTGTCTGTATGTATCATATAAGAAAACGAGTACTGTTTCTGACAATTATTGTTCAAATCCGGTTATATCGGTGCACATACATTCCTTCTTGATATTCATTTGAATCTTTCATTGAACAGATATAAACAGAGAATAATTCAATTATCGTCTCAGTCTTGAATATTTTGAAGCTTACCATTAATCTTATGTGATATTTCTTTACTTTGAACAATAATAATAATAAATGACATATTATAGTTTCTTTGTGGGAGTTCAGATGTGTTAAGTTAACAATGATATCATCGTGTTTTTACACTAGATGTACTCATCCTTATGCAATTTGACCTTACTATGAAGTGCTTTGTTAGTCTTCAATCCCAAAATGATTAGTAAATTGTATACATGAATTATTTAAAATCTTAATATTACAGTATTCCCAGTTAAAACTACCAGCAAATATATTTGGTTTTGTCAAGTTTTGTAAAGTACAACATTCTAAACTTACATCAATTCTTCCTGTCCCAGCAATACAAATACATGTTAATTAAAGCTGTAAATGGTAGCGTTTCAACTGAGATGTTCACTGCCTTTATAGGTTGTTACCTGAAACGGATTGCTTTATGTATCTGTGAAGATCCTTGTTTTGGAGGTTTTCGTCATGGATTGATTTCATTTAGAGTGCTGTTGAACATCAGGAAGGGTTAAACATGTTTTGTCTTTGCATAGGACTCCTCACTGGTTTCGGTTAATAATCTCGTTGAAGATCAAATGTTGAACCTTCAGGTTTCGTAGCGAACTCTTAACCATTAAAATGACTGGGTGGGCGTATAATTTGTTCGTATTTTCAATGATTGTTTAGTATTGTTTATGTATGCTAAATGTTTGTTTTTCTCAAAAGATAATTCTCCTCCATTAAAGTTGTAAAATAGCAACACTTCATTCAATAATATTTTTTTTTATAAATTTTTGTATATGTCGCTACAATAGTTCTATTCGGTGCACAATGATCTCTAATTATTACTGAAAATTTACTGTAATCAAGATCGTTTAATGGCCTTCAAGTGTATACATATATCAGTACATATTCTATGATTGCTTACTTATCAAATATATTAGTTCAATCGGTTTACTTTTCTAGTTTTATTGCCCAAGTAAGATATTAATTAATAAATAAAAGAAGGTAATCTCCCATGGTATCATAATGAATACATATTTCTTCTCAAAGTTTGTCGACAATATCATTGATAACCTTCATATTGTAGTCATTCATAGAATATGTTTGGTTTTTGACAAACATTCTCGAAATTTTAGTTATTATATACGTTGATATAGTGTTCTTCTCTTACCTCTCCTATCTCACAACCCAAATAAGCTTGTCAAAGAATGTGAGAACTTTCATACTGAATTCATTCATCTAAGTAGGATTACTCTATGTTAACAGATATCGGGATTTTATTCTGCTATAGGCATTACTATTCATTGAAATAATTAATTGTTAACTTGAATAGAATTTGTAATTCACGAGAAACACGAAACAGCTTTATATAATAAATCTCTCATCGTCTACTCACACATGTATTTCTCATAAACATTTACTTAACATTTCAAAGTTGAAATCATGAGTCAATTGAAGCTAGACCACCATCGAAAACCTGGAAGCACTGGACAAGCAATAAACGATAAATAAATGAAAATATGATCACTTAAGAATACTACATTGGAAAATGAACAATGGTGAAACCTATCAATGTTAAGATTGATTTACTACAAAATATTTGGTTTGGTTTGAAACAGTTTCTAGACATAAAGAATGTTCAACTTCTATGCTTGCTACATTGCTTTATGAATATTTTAAAAGAGTTATTCGTAGCAACTCTTATAAATACGTTTGCTTAATTCGACCTGGATAATCACTCATTTTATTGGTTTGTCCTGCAGTAATTATCAGTCAGATGACTAAATCTTTTGATTATCTGGATATTGATATGCAGTTTTCTGTATCAACAATCACTCTTACGTATATATCACAATACTCGGATGTATCCATACTATATAGCTTAAAGAAACGAATACATTACGATAATGTTTAATAATTTATCCATTCACATTAAACACATAGCGATTGTCCCTTCGTTTCCCCACCTATCATTCTCTGTTCTAGTTCTCTTTTCTTAGATCTTCTTAATCTTTTGCCACCAGACGTTTCACTTTCGATTGGCGACACATACTACTTATGTCTGTTGCCATCAGTAGTACACACCACAGTAGTAATATCCCTACTCAAAGTCTTAGAGTTCTTAGTGTGTGTGTGTGCCTTTGAGTGATGAACTGGGACGAAGTAACCATTAATTTCCCTTTAGTTTTCAACATTTCTGAAAAAAGGCTGGTAAAGTAAGCAACAACACTCCATTTCATTGGTTGGTGAGATGGAAAATTGTATACTCCATACCTTGATTCCTGGTACTATGTAGTCGAAATGACGTCACTGTATAATCTATTCTGTTGTTAAACTAGTCAGTTAGAACCATTTAATCGCTTTTCATTATCTATATATGTTAATTAACAATTGTTTTTACTAATCATTTTCTGTACCACTTATCAGACCTTAACTACAAAGTTTACAAGTTCATCTACGTCTTTTAATTTCAACTACTGTAGTTATTCTATCCTGTTCGTCACTAATTTGAAGTCATTAGTGTTTAAGTATGTATAACGTCATTGCAATCTACAGAACATCCATAATTTCACTAACTTTATTACCTTGTTTATTTTTTTCTGGCCATTCACCATTTCTATTACTGTGATTAATTATTTGTGATTTTCGTATGTTGTCGTTATTTCTCGCAAGCACATATTAAGCATGAATTCTATGACAGATATTTTAATAAACTAGCCAGAGCTAAACTGTTATGTTTCGCTTTTCCCGAGAGTTTTCCTACTTTCAATGGGTTTCGGCTAATGGAACTCCTAGGGTAACTAAGTAGTCATACTAGTATTAATGATTCACACATGATTAACCTTAGTATACATATTATTTTTACCAGGAAAAGTCGAATTTTTTTTGTGGAGCAATTCGACATAACTTCATGTGATCATTTTATATCAGCAAATTTTCAAAGTTGTCTCAGAGTTATTGAGTAAAAAAGGAACCTAAAAATTTGCTTATCCAAATAAAAAGTTCCATCTCATTGCTAGCTATGTTTCTATCGATGATTGCACTCTTTAATTTGTTTCTTTCATCAGAATTCTGCTTTATCAAATGTTATTTTGTCCACTCTCTCTCTTATCCATTGTTTTTTTGATGTATAGGAAAAATGAGTTTTCTGTCTACTAATTGTCTATTTGTCAATTTTCCAATTAATGATTCATTTTGCTTACAAAATCTTGTTTTTTTACTTATTGGAATGTAAGTTATTTGCATCTTCACCCCGTTGTCAATCATCATGATGTGGCAGATTTACTTAACTGTTTATTTCCAATGTTTCAATTATCGCAGAATCTTGTTTCTACTATATGGTGGTGTATCAGTTCTTTTACCAAACATCATCTGCGGTATCGGATAAATTTCATGTTTTGTGTACATAGTGTTCATCTGTTCTTAAGACACTTCTGAGGAGTCCCATAATAGGACGAAACGGCCATCCAGTGCTTCCAGGTTTTCGATGGTGGTCTAGCTTCAATTGACTCATGATTTCAACTTTGAAAGATTGTTTATTGAAATCTGTTGTATTGATTAGTTTGTACGATCTTTTTTACATCACTATCTGATGGAATTTATAAAAGTTGATAGTTGAAACTAAATTGCACACAAATGAATATCGTTTTGTCTTGTTTGATACCTTTAGTGTTTTTTACTTTCTCATCGATAGTGAGTGGTTTTCTTGATTTTTAACTTTTCAGCTTTTTTAGTCCTACTTGAATGTCGATCGATGTGTTAGTGACTATGTTTGATTTTCAATCTAATTGTTAGTTTTAGTTTCATACGTCACTTAGTCATTTCCAATCGCATTCATATCGTAACGTTTAGTTAAGCTTTGTCACGTACAATTATAGGATCCTCACATGTTCTGATATGGTCAAGAATGTAAACAGCCTTCTCGAAATGCCCTTAAAATGTATTGTTAATATATATAATACGTTCAAGATTTGATTACACGTACATATATTTCCCGATCCGTAATATTTCAGTGTTATTTAATATTTTTCTATTTGCAGTGATGACATTATTCATTCTTGATCTGTGAAGTAAGACAACTAATTCTTTTTTAAAACATTCATCTACATGCAAACACACACTGATGGATCATTAATATTGAATACTAATATGGTTTCACTTGCTTTCAAATGCTTTATCTACTTCTTTTGTTCAGGGTATTCTTTTCTTATATGTTTATACATTATATATTTTTATATTTAATTGAGAAAAAAAGTATGATATTCTACAAATAAACAACAATTAAATGTGTAGCAAGGAGAATTCAAAGCGGAACTTCACCTTATTTTTCTTTCCTCTAACCTTAACTAATCTATTATGTGTACTACATCTGTTAATTTCTCACTTTTTCACGATAATGATCATAAGAATATTGCATTGTCTTTTACTGTTAAATTAGTATTTCTTTTCATTTCTATTAATGCATTGTCTTTTGTTCCTACATATTTTCATAAATTACAATGAACTATAGTGAATTATGTACAGGGTGAATGTGTGTTGACAATTTCTTATTATTGTTATTATTATAAAAATACACACGTAAATAATGGTGATGTACGGAACATTTTTGAATTGTGCACTCTAATGATTAAATATGTACGTATGCGTGATATGGTATAATAGATCTTGTTTCTTTTTTTTCTTCGGTTCAACTGATTGAATTGTTTGCCCTGTCTCTAATATTTTGGGGTTATGATAACTGTATAGTAAATTGTATGCATTATTCTTCTACTCAACCACCATTATAAAAATGGTTTGTGATTGTGATGATTCGATAGAAAACTTATACTCTTAATAAACAATTCTTATCAGGTATTTATTAGTTTAACCAAATGTGATATTATTTTTATTATCGGTTAACATTATCAAAGTGATTGTGTTGTTTTTTTTCTTTTTCACCGTTTGAATTATTTCAATAATCACTTGTAATTGTTTGATTGTTATCAAACAATTTATATGCCTTTTGTTACTTCTTAAGTGCACGTCACTGTCTCATGCAGTTTAATCCGCTTATCTCTAATAAATGTTTATATGTATGCATATTGGTTTGAATAAATATAAATAATTGGTTCTATTGACTGAGACAATTCTCTTCCATTTCTATTGTTTCTATGCGTGCAATCTTTTATTATTATTATTACTATTATATATATAATGAGGGCAATAATTATTTTGTTTTCTAATTTGTTCCTGTCCATCCATTTATTGGTGAATTTATAATTTACAGAATGATGTTTTATCGGCTGTGGAATCCATTCATGCTGTACAGATAGAAGAAGTGAATAATTTGCAATCAATTAACAAAATCACTAATAATGATATTAATACTGTATCGAATGAAGAGACTATTCAGTTATTATTGGAAAAACTTAAATTACAAGAAGAACTATTCAATGAACAAAAAGATCAATTGGTTAATATTCAACGACAAACTATAACACTGAATCAAGATAAAGAGAATGTATGTTAATATACAGTTTTTGTTGTTGTAAACGATAATTGGTATTCAATATGTATACTAAAGAATATGTTCTAGTCAAACTAGATGTCACAATCAGTTGAATTTAATTCTGATCAATTGATCTCTCGACATTGTATTTATCTGTAGTGCGAATAGATATGTTGCAATTTTTATGTATCATTAAACTATTATTAATGACGAATCTACACAAGAATAAGAGATGGAAATTTATTGTAATCATTATACGCAATTCGGCTACAGTGTAGTATTCTTACTTTCACCCCCCATACAATGTGTTTTTGTTTGTCCAATTAAAGGGGTCATTTTAATCTGATGGAATAGTGGTTTTTGACTATGTATCCAAGTTCTTTTCTTTATATTTATCAGTGTTTGGTCTATGATACTCATTCTCATAAGTGTAATTATTCAAGTGCAAGTCGATTAGGACCTATGTTTCAATGAAGTCCGATCTGCTACTATAAAAGTACTTTCTAATGATTATTTACAACAATTTTTTAAAAAGAAAGCAATTTCAATTGTAATGTATACGGAAGTTAAAGACGTGGTACAGTTGTTTACAAAGATGTTTTAAGAGAGGATAATTTTAAAATGTTTTCAGTTTGATGTAGATAGTCACAGATTTCAGATTTACTCTTTTATTCTTCATCATCTGTAAGATACACAATTAAATACACGTATACATATTTTCTAATCCTAATCGGATTTAAAGTTTTTTTCGTTTCACTATTTCTTAATAAGTCACTCAAACAAAACGAAACCATAGTTTACATAACAAATTAACTGTAGCCAGATAGTCATTGAAAACTAGGTTCAGGTCTCACAGTGTTGTAAATTTGTCGTATTGGTTTTCACTAATTGTCCAGCTACAGTCACATGATGATGCAAAGCTTCAAAATTCCCAAGACTTTACAAACCTGTTTATACTTAGAAACAAAGATTGAGTTATGTTTTGACGTATTCAGTTTCTCCCTTTTACATAAATAATTTAATCCTTAAACGTTTCTTATTCTTATTTCTTTCAGTCTGACAATAAACTTAATGAAATTGAAAATTATTTAAATAAGTTAAAAATAGAATTGAATGAATCTAGAATAAAACAAGAAGAATTACTTACTGAGTTAAACAGTGCCCATTTGAAACGTGATCAATTAGTTGAGGATATTTCTAAAGTTCTAGGTGATTTATCTATAACTGAAAATGCAGAGGATTTATCAACAATTTTATGTAAACGTATTAATGATATAAAAGAACAAATGTAAGTTCAATTGAGATCTGACTTTGATCTACTCAATTTAATGTTCTGTGTATTTTTTTGTTACAGAGATCATTTTATGTAATAATGAGAATCCAAACTCATTTTTTTGTCTTTTTTAAAATGAAGTCTACCTGTTAGTGAAAGATCACACGTTTCTTTTGATTAAGTTCAGTTTTTCGCATTAGGATCATATCCTAGTTTAGCCGTTTATAGGAGATTAGTTTCAGTTACAGATAGATCACTCTAGTAATGGGTTAATATCATTTGAGACACCATTTAGAACCAAATGTACACTAAACAACGTAAATACTACTGCAATGGTATATTTGACAAAATCCCTATTACTTCAAATCCCAATATTAACATCTAGAATAGAATACTGTAAATGTGGGGCGATTTATTAAATTTCATAGTAGTAATATTAGTAGTATGTGGAGAAATAACTCATACAGCCGGTTATTGGAATTGATGACTCAGTAGTTAGGATGTTTGAATTTCAGTTACTAAGTTGCAAGTTCAAACTCCGCTCCACCGATTTTAGTATGGGCACTCAGATAGTATCACTAGCTCTCAAATCTGAAGTATGGCTCGATGCATAAATCCGCACCAGAGTTAATGATGAAAGCAAAATATCTTGGATTCATTTCTCTTATTCATGATTCAATTATCATTAGTTAACTAATTTGATAGAATGTGATAATTTGCATGATGAAAGATTCCTTCTTCCACTTTATTTCGATCAGAGCTGGACATGAAAAAGTTCGTCAAGATTTAGAAAAATATTGTCAAACACTAGAAAGTGAACGTAATGATCTTGAGAGTGAGCTGACAAGAGTCAATGTGACCTTGAAAAATTCCAATGAAGTAAGTTGTTCTGTGTTGTTTAAAAATTATTTCTGTAATTTTTTTGTCAGTTGATATCAAAATCACTCAACAATATTTAAGAATGATACTTTATTAAAAGGTATGAGTAGATTTTCACGTGTATTCAACCTAACAGCGCAGATACTTCGTCCAGTTTTATCATTTTGTTTTAGCACATAATTTGAAATGATGTTCATTTCACATTGTAATGGTTTCCCTAAGTATTACGCTTACTAACACTTCGATTTCACCAGTACAAAATGTGTTTGAGTGTAGATATATGATAATAATAATAATTTGGTTTTTGTATTTACAATCGCTTGAGGGAGTTTTGATATTCCGATCTAATGAGTATCATTTTAAAAAGTTGGTTTCGTAATTTCCCTTATGTAATTTTTTTTTGAAAATCTACTACTACTACTACTACTACTACATTTTAACGATGTTTTACTACTTATTTCTTCTAAGTAGCTCAGATTTATATACCCTAACTTTCATTTTTTCGTCCATAACCCAACAAGTACGTATCGTTCATCAATTCCCAAACATAATGTAATGTGGCCGTTTTAATTGGATGGCTTACGTCGGTTGCAATATCTGTGTTTCCGTGAATAGGATTTTGGTTTTGAGAAGGACTGAATGATATGTAACATATTGTGACAATTATTCACAGGAAAGTATGAATCGATATGCTTCACTTCTAAATTGTATCTTTTGATGATGGTCGAATAAATAATGATCTAATATGTTTCATGTTACATTTAGTGGAATAATCCTATACAGTTGGTTCCGTTCCATATTCTTGTTCTGAACAAAGTAAAGTAGATTCTTGATAATTCATTACCTTCGTGAATCATATTGTGTATAGACGGAGGAAATAAAATGACAATATGCAATGACTTCTTAATGGTTTGTTGACTTTGTTATCCTGCTGTTTTTCTATGAAATAAGTCAGTTGTATGTAGACGTATAGCACAGTAAATACTACTGTTTTTTTTCTAGGTAAATATCAATACTAGAATCTGAACATATTTTTATAAATAAAAACGTAGTCATATACTTTGTGGTAATAAGGAATGGTTTTGTTATAATTTACATAAATATTTGGCAATTTTTATTTGTAATGAAGTAATGACTGTCAAATTACGTTGCCGAGGGTTATTAACAGTTTTTATGATTTTGTTGTTATTATATCGTTGTGTGACTAACCCCGATAAATTTTGCATACACAATGAACAACAACACTTTGGAATGTTATATCTGTGTTTTGTTTGCTACCTTTTCTCTGCAGACTTTTGTATTTTGACCTTAGCGTATGTACCTATAATAGTAGGTAGTTGGCAGGATACTCTCGACCTAGATGTGCCAGTTAATACTCTTCAGTAAGACATACTTGCAGTGTTGAGCAATCTGATCACCTTGTTTTTTGAGTGATGCGAAACTAATTAAATGAAATTATTTCGCTTTTTTCGTCTTTTTTCTAAATGTCTCCATGGGAATCCACGTTTTACTAGAATTTGTTTATGACAGCAGTCTTATGTGATTTCTGAAAATAAAAAGTAAATGCTACTTATAAAACAAAACCTACCACTTTTATTTCAGTTATAAAGGAATGATATTAAAACAGCTTTTTGACTTGATTATATTAAATTATAGATTTTTAACTATTTATGAAGATATTCAGACAATATTCGAGCTGTTTTATTTATACGCTTATTGATCTAATTGTTGATTCATTTTTTACTAGATACAAATGGATAATTCAACCTTGAAAGAAGAACTTGATAATGCACGACAAAAGTAAGTTTGATTAGTATATGTGTATGCTTGTGAAATGTGTTCATGCTTTAATATTATAATCATTACATACATATAGTAGGATCTGAAGGTCTTAAGACCGTTCCTTAATGAGGTCGTGGATGAGCACTGTCATGAAGTATCATAATAAAATAAAACAACCATTCAGGGCATCCTGCTTTTTAGGTGTTGTTTAACCAAGATCAGCCTTTAGTGTAAACTACGAGATCCAACAATCTCTCTTATATCTTATAATAAAGAAATAGAAAAATCCTTTTTTTGTAGAAATATGTAGATTACACTCCAATGAACTTTATCTCTATCCTATCAAGTTTAATTCATTTCATACATTTGTCAATAGTATCTGTTAGTCTATCAATAATTATATGGTATTTTATTATTATTTATTTGTTTTTTATTTTGTGTAAATTTTCCTTGTTGCCCATTGTTTGCTCAGTATTTGTCTGTTAGGTCAATAACATTGATCATTATATTATGTCGTCGTGATATTACAGAGTTGCTGAATGGAATTGAAAAAAAAATACTACGACTTATTATCCCACAATTTTTTGTTTCTATCCGAATTCTATCCTCATTTATAAACCAATGCCGTTATAATTCAGAGTTTTTCAGTCATTTTAAGGTTAAACTAGTGTCTAGCCGAGCTCTATTAATTACGGGTTGATTCTTCTTGGTTTTAGTTACCATCATTAGTATTAGTAGTAGTGGTAGTAGAGGAAGGGGAAAAGCATACTTCTTTTATGAATTATTTACTTGACTTTTCATGTATTTACTAGTTAATTATTTACATATAAAGTAACAAATCATTATATTACTTATCTATATGTATACATTTTACTGGAAAAATTCATACGACTGTTAACTATTGCTTATTGCAAGTCCCTGTGCCCAAAATGTAACTCAAAGTTGAATGCAGTAATATGATTTTCAGCAAATGATTTACATTCAAAATGAATTTACTTCAATAATCGTATAATTAATTGACAAAGGATTGTTGAATTTTTTCTATGTAATCTGGATACTATTTTTTTCCCAATCGATTAACTAGTGTCATTTTCGTTCACTTACCAAGTGTTTCGTCACAAAATAACGAATGTATATATATATATATATACATATATATTAATCTGTAAAATCAAAGTATCAAGACATTCTATTGTCTTATTATTATTATTATTATTATTATTATTATTATTATTATTATTATTATTATTATTAATTTACATTTTCATACAGGATGTTTTCATTAGAGAAAAGTGCTTCTAATGCATTTAGTCAACTTGAGATCAAATCGAATGAGTTACAAGCCATTCAATCACAGTTGGATAAAGTTTTAAGTGAAGTACGCCATATTGATATTTTTATTATCTGTGAATTATTTCAAATTATTTCCATGTGTATAGTTGTATGTTCTTCTTTTTGAGAAGAAACGTCGCTTTTATTTATTTACAAATAACTAATAAATACACTTGCCATTATGTAGGTCATTATCAAGTATATAGGATTGAATATGATAGACAAAAAATTTTAATAATGACCTTTCGATGAAGAAAAAGAAAACACATAAATTTTCAAACATATCTATTCCAGTTATTTATTTGGCATACATAATTCAAGAGAGTTTGGAATTCTCTGCTCAACTTGAAATCGATATTTCTAAACTTTCGAGGTTGTCGGATATTGATTTCACATCATAGGTATTTTATATATTCGAGGATTGACACTGCACGTTATAGTAAAAAATTCGAGACATCTTTTTGTTGATTAATACTATTTAGTATTTCATTTAAGTGTTCTTCTGATACCAAATAATCCATAAGTACGCTAACTTGTTTTATATGCAGCATCTGAAATAGCTTTTTATGTCATTCGAATAAAAAATCAGAATCATTCTGTTTCATGTCATTAACTCAAGTTTCACACTTTCATTGCAGATGTTAAATAAAACATTAGTAGATGTATTATAGTTTTAATAAGATGAGGATTATTAATACAGTGTGATATATTGGCTCAATACATTTCGAATGATTTGATAACATACTTGTTAAGAACATTCATATATGGAAAAATAAAATGTCAACTACACAAATGGAAGGTGATAGGAGCAAAGATCATAGAGAGAATAATGTGTAAGAAACATGAAACTCACCATTCAAGCCCCTTTTACGTATCCAAAAACAGTTTGTTCCCACTCCAAACTCACCTTAGTAATATTGTTTTATTATCCAGGATGGCGAGTTTCACATCATTCTCTTTATGATCTTCGCTCCTATCACCTTCCATTTGTGTAGTTGACCTTTTATTTTTCCATATATAAATGTTCTTAACAAGTATGCTATCAAATCGTTCGAAATGTATTGCGCTTGTATATCACATTTTAGGGATAATTTTCATTTGATTACGGATGATACTTGAAAATGGATACAGCTTTCTCTGAGTGGAGAAAAAGCTGTAATAAAATGTCAACTACTTATTAGTAGTATAAAAACAATAACGTATTTCTATTAAATTCATTTGTAATCGAGGATTGTTTCAAGTTTTTCAAAGACATGGCTATGAAGCATGTGAACCTTCATTTGAGCATTCGGGCAGAATTGGTTATCAATTTTTCGTTTGACTTCGTCGCATAACTTATGCCTGATTACATCGCCCCTCTGAAATTTTCCGTAGTTCGTAATTTATTTTAGCTAAATATATTTAACTCATTTTATTCTTAATTATCATCTGTGTTGATCTGTTTGATTTCGTAACAACTTGTTTATAGTTCTATTGTATTTTTTTACCGTTCCATCCAATATTCCAGAAACTTTATGTTTATAAGATCTTTACTTTTAATCTTTTATGAAGTCTGTTAATGCTTATTTATACCTTTGCCATATTACGATGGCTCGTATGGACCAACATTATTTCTGTATGCACTTTTATAATTTTGTTACAAAACTATGACATATGTATTCATGCTGTTCTGTTACAATCCTTGCTCTTTCTCCTTTTAAATAATAAGGAGGAGCTATATGTGTGAAACGGTTAGATCATTTGAATATTATTCGTATATTACGTTTACAGTACTCTAGTGTACACTGGAATATATCTATCATATTTCGTAACAGGAGTTTCATGAAAAGTAGCATTCAAATATACCTTGCCATAATAACCAAACGTTTTGTAAACATGCGGTTCTATTTCTCTTAATTTTTCATTTGATTGTCGTTTCATTTTTTAATCGTTTAATTTGTGTATAAGTGTATTGATCATTTTAAAAAAATATTATTCACTGTTTATATAATTGAAACACTAACATCCCTTTTCTCTATTTGCTTCTTTCCACCTTTCTTATTGTATCAGCAAATGGAGCTTGAAAAAGTACACAACCATACCATAACAGTTTTAGAATCTGAGAAACAAGTATTGTTGGAGCGTATTAAAGAGGCAGAAAGTCGTTTACTTGAACATCAACCAAATTCGTCAACTGAGCTTAGTAAGATCGTATCTATTTATAATATGTGCTTTTTTGTAGAATGATTGATAAACTTTGATTATTTAACGTGGATTTTTTAGATGTTTTTATGATTGTAAGTGATAAAATGTCTTAGACTGTATTCATCAATCCTCGTTCAAATTTTAGTCAAGCTTAGTGTAAATACGGTAATAAAAAATGCACTGTTATCCTACAGTTTTAAAATCAGTATAAAAAGTTATAAGGTATTAAACATCTGAATTAGCAAATAGTGTTTTTCTCATAGCGTATGTTTCTAATCGACACATGTTACTTCGTTCGTATTCTGAACAACTCGATACTCAAGTTCTTCTCGTCAATTTACAAAGAAATGTTAGTAACGTATGAGCTGATACTGAAAACGGAGAAGAGAAACGAAATATTAGGTTCAACGTAGTAGGTAAATACTTTCAGTGGTTTCACTAGACCTATTTTTGATTAGAAAAATGAATGGTAATTTCTGATCCCAACACGATTAATTTCATTTGCATTGTTTTTAATTTAAAAAAGGTAAACCGATTATTTTACTGAATATATATTGAAGTATAAACATAATCGTCGATATCTAGTTTACCACGGAAATTCCAGTACCTATCAGGTCGAATATGGTTAATTACTAAGAATTTCGGTTCCTTTTTTCAAACCACCAATAGTGTGTCATCTTAATATTGACCTGATAGTTGTAAATTGTAAGATGGTTTGAGTTAAATTATGCCTATTTATGAGATGATACAATCATTGTATATTTATAACACATACTAAGTAGTTGTCTCATAACCACTAAACAATGTTACCTGTAACACTAACTTGTTTATAAATTTAACCGATAAACAGCGAAAGATGAACCGCTGCATTGATCAGACAAAGTTTTTCATAAAACGTGCGGAGGAACAGGATAGCGTCTAAGTTGAAGCAGTTTGATAAGGATTTTTTTAAGGGAATGCATCATGTTTGTATAAAAACCCATGGGAAAAAATGACGAGACTGTCAAATAAAATATTGATACGAAATGAGTGCACTCATCAGGATTCATAACCATAAAAAAATACTGTGACTGTGAAGAACATTTTCAGTTTTGTTACTTAGAAAAGATATTTACACCACCCTACGATAAGTAATTAATTCGGTCACTATTAAGTTGAAACATATTTATTTGATCACATAAACATTGGTACAAAGGGGGCACCAAATACGTATGCGCCACACAATAACAATGAGGCTAGTAGTAGATATCATTGATTTATGTCATGATTGGAATACTATCCGGGTTACCAAACCGAAGCAAGTGGTTCTCTTAGGGGGATACACCCTGAGTTTTTGACCTGTGGGTCTAATTCACAAGGCGGTGGAGCAAAGTTAGGAGACACAGCCCCACGAAAGCTAGTGACCAACGATAGGTATATACGCCTTTCTTCTGTTCAGGATCCTGTAGCACATGTGCACCATTGTTTTGAAATCAGAGTTTTCTAACTCCCCTATTTGAACCCTACCTGTTCACCAAACCGGTTAATGCGTTGGATATACGGTTTTCGTCCGCTCGATTTCGTAAACAACACCCCTAACACGAGAAAGCAGTGAATAGGACTTCCTTGTCAGTCACTGTATATGCGTAGATATGTGAGAACATTTGAAGAGAAAGAGCGGACTCTCCCCACTCTCATCCGTACTAGGGCATTTTGGGGTTTAAATCGATGTTGAGTAAGACCAGATTACCCAATTCAGGTTATTATCATTAGGTTATTCATCGTTCGTCGAAAAAAACCAAGCGACTTGTAAATGATCACGTCCCATTCACTTATTAGTCTGTTGATTCACTTACATAGAATGAAGTAATCTTTATATACATTTGCAGATAGTTGAAAGACGACTGAAGTTGATAACACTTAATACATATAAATTCCAGTAGTCTAATAGTAGAAAATGACAAACTTTCTTTTTCCTCTGTATTTAAAAGTACATTACAATTAAGTCATATCTTCAATCTGAAAATATGCATTATAGTATTATGATGTTCACATTAATTTACTGAGTTTATTACTATTCAAAAATTTAAGTTCCCAATGTTTATTTATTCAAAAATATTTTAAATTTACATGAAACTTACCATGATATTATTAATTTTAATTACTGTTATCTGATGAGCTATGTGAATTATGTCTGATTATCTCTATTCCTATTATATTCTCATTTATCTAGTTTGACTTATGTATATATTTATATATATCTTCTTAAGTTTTAATACAACTCTCTGTTTAAAAATGTATATTGCGCGCCAATTTAATTAAAAGCTTTTAATCAACATCAAAGAGATTAACTATTATTTATTAAAGAAAGTAAAATTTTTAATTAGTTCCATATATTCAAATGAAGAATACATATTGAAATAAAACAACAACAAAAGAAAAGAATATCATAATGTTATGCTTAGATTTATAAATAATTATTAGTTACTTACTGATTGAAATTTAATCATTCATATATTTGATTATAACAGTTATTTAGTTATGAAAAATTGTTTCATTTCAATGTGGACAATCATTGAAAATGAAGTTGTATACGATTCATAATAAACTTATGATTAAGAATGGATAGTTGCAAGAATAGGTATGTTAAACACAAACTACTCAATTCAAGATATTATAAAGAATGCTTGTGAAAAGTATGTGTTTAAAAAGAAAAAACTAGAGAGAGGAGTCAAAAAGTATTATTAAATTATTATGGTTAAATTATTTACTCTTTTTTTGTACATTTACATTGAATTTAAGGCCCCCGAATGCCCTGGTACGGTTGAGAGTGGGGAGAGTCCTCTCACATGGCCACGAGTATATAACCTCTGCCAGGGAAGTCCTACTTACTGCTTTCTCGCAGAGGGGGTGTTCTTTACGAAATTGAGAGGACGAAAAGCGAATGTCCGGCGCTTTAACCGGGTTGGTGGACACGGAAAGTCTACCTAGGGGAGTTGGAAAACCCTGATTCCAAACCAATGGTGCACATGGACTCCAGTATCCTGAAGGAACGAATGGCGTATGAATCAATCGTTGGTCACCGGCTACCATGTGACTGCATCTCCTCACGATGCTCCACTGCCTTGTGGATCAGAAATTCAGGTCAAAGGTTCCAGATGTGACCCCCTAAGAAGACCACTTGCTTCAGTTTGGGCACCTGGGTAGTATCACAGCCCTCACACAAATCAAATGAGATTTGTGTGGCGCATATTTATCTGGTGTTCCTTTGTACCAATATTTATGTGTTTAAATAAATAAATATTGAAGTTAAGACATTAGGTTTCAGTTTTTTAACCGTAAATTATATTGATGTACTGTTCTTCTGCCTATTAACTACTCAAGTTGTTTTAAATAGGATCTATTACATTATACTTATCGATGAAATATTTGCATATAACACCACTTAACGATCTAAGATCATTATTTCTAAAAATTATATATATATATATATATATATATATATATATATATATATATATATCATACACTTTTTTTTCTCTAAACCATATTTTATCTGTGATAGTATGCTTCCCAATAGATTTTAGGCTTGATCCCAATGGAAAAAAACGAAGGTGCACCTTATTTCATATTGTTCTATTGTTTTTCGTCAAAACTCCGCATCTTTTTCCTTTCTCAGCTAATTTATTTATCTTAGAGTATAGTTTATTTATTCATTGAATTATTCATCTATAATCTTCTTTGATTATGAAGATAACGAAAAAAAACAACTCATCTTTCCGATAAGTTGTACTTTTTTTTCCACAAAAAAAAAATACATTTTCAACTTATCTAAATCTTTCTGTTTAATCCATGAGTTTAAGTATAAAAAAGTGCGCTTTGCGTTGTTTCCACACTCCATGTGTGTATGTGTGTTTAAGATTGCTTCCGTATAAATTTCTCCATGCATGGAAATATGTTTACTGAACATTTATTCTTTTTTTAAAGTATACATCAGATTTCTCGCCTTTATTTTTCTCTTTACTGTTTTGTGACGAGCACATATAAAATTGGTCTCTTTTGTTTCTATATTTTTGTTAAGAAAAAAAACACTATTGTGTGTATGTCTAGATTTCTACCGATCGATGTGAATGTATGCATTATTGGCCTTTTTGGCTCATAGCCAAGTTGACTGTCTATTAATTCAAAGATATTTCTTATACTAATTACTTTATTTTTGTCTGTATCTGTTGTTATTCTATCAACTCATACACAAACTTTTATGTGTATGCATATGTGTATCACTTTAAAACGCGGATAGAAATGCTGGTACGGATACGGTATACTGTAACGTATAAAAATGCAAGCTGATATCATGTGATAGCATTGTTTTAAGTTACTGTAGTACATGATTCCTCTGGTTATTATATAAACTTTTACACTTATGAGTACACATGCATTATACTTAGTTCACTTGTCTATATAATAAATTCATTTTTCGATTCATTAGGAGACATTTACTAAAATATTATTTGTGTGGTTGACACCATTTATGATCTTTTGGTTCATCTTCAGAATCACTAATCCTTCAATTTATATTGATAGTGGCAGGTGTACTATATCTGTAGCAACAGTGTTTACTTGGTTACTGAATGATATTAACATTGTTTTAAAAGTAGAGTCATGAATCTATACTTGCCAATAAAGTTAGCAAACTTTTAATTCATAATTGATGTTGGACTATTGAAGTATCATACTTCTTAAGAGGATACAGCTAAAGAGTTACACTTCATTCAATAGCTGTTTCTTTTTAGTTTTAAAGTCGTTCATCAACTGTAAGCATATACGTTAGCCCTATCTGACCCGATCAAATCCAGAATTTTCAAATCTTACAGCGAACAGGATGCCTTTGAAACACTGTCTATAGTTCATACTTCTTTAGGCATAAGAGAAAGAATGTACCAGGAAATTCCTAAAAAATATAAATGGAATGTGAAACAGATTGATATTCTTGCGATTGATCCAGCGCTCTACATTTTTCATGTAAGGCAGTGGTCGAAGACCTTGATCTTTAAATGATCAATTCCAAATTCTGCAACTAGGTGGTAGTACTTGGGGCTCGTCAGGTGAGTGAACCTGTTGTATCCTACTATCGATGTTCACTTTTAGATTCGAACTTAATACTTTTCGCTTCAAATATTCAACTCATTACTTGCTGGGCTACTGATTTTAGATAGCTACTAGTTTGTATAATGGCTACAAATCACCGTTCCTCCTTGTTTGATCCTAAGAATTCCAATTAATCAATCTTTTATGGTTGTCTTTGAAACCGACAACGAGAAAATGCAGACCATTACAAATAATATGGTTAGTTGTTGCTTGAAACGAAGTGGAGCTGGATTTTCATTTCTCTTGTTTTTTCTCCTTTTTTATACAGCAAATCAGTATGGACAGTCCGACATTAATAGATTAATTGAAGAAAAGGCTTCAACTGAATCACAAGTGAATTTTCTCAATTCCATCATTGTTGATCTACATGCTAAAAACGCTGAACTAGAATCTCGTGTACGAGCAATGCTTGTCGGAACGGATGAACAATTAAAGTAAGTTGATATTCTTATTTAAATAGTCTGAAAGTGTCATTGGTTTAAGAAAAAAATTACTGTACATTAAATATGACGTGAATAATAGGTTGAAATAACTTCATTAACATCACATATATTCGTAAAATCGTGGTTAGTGGATGAGAAAAATGGATTTTTGGACTTTTTTAGTTGTTATTTTTTCGTTGAAAAAGTAACTTTTCACAGTTACATCGTAAAATGAGGAAGATGAAGAAAGTAACATCTTGTATTAAATGGTCATCAAGAAATATCTTCCCAAAAACTATAAACTCTTAGCTTTGAAGCCCTGTAGATAATGTTTACTCATAATGTTGGCGATAAAAATAATAATTATGTGATTATTCTTCCAACTCATATATATTTCAAATAATTACATATGATGTAATCGAAGCAAAGCAATTTTCAATCAAGTCATCCATTTTCACTGTGAATCTTATCTTCATCCACACTGAACGATACACATAGAGGTGCACATTAAATGCCACTCATGTTTTGTCATTGTCAATAAATGCGATGTTAAAATGCTTATACTTGTCTGTCATTCATTGACATTTTCATTTGATTAGTTCGTTTTACAATTTATTCGTATGTTAATATATAAAAGTTATTTATTTTTCTGAAGAAAAGATCTTCCAAGAGGTTGCTAAACATCAGAAATTCATATTTTCTTCTATATCTTTACAAATCCACAGTTATGCTTTATCAGTGAGTTCACAGTGTATTCAATCGCTTAACTTCAGCATTCTTACTTTCAAAATTTTTTTTACTTTCATTGTTGGCAAAAAGATGGTGAATGTCTTTGTAAGCCGTGGGTACTCTAATATTTTGCTACACATACACTTTTGTCTTTCGTACTAACCAGGCATAAAATTAAAAAGTGGTATGTCTATAAGACGTGTTGTTTAGTTGATATTTTGGTACGTTTGTGCATCACTTTTAATGATACTAATTTCGAAACGATGAAGAAGATTTAAAACTCATGTAAGTGTTGTACATATGTCATTTCACTGTTACTATCTATCCAATTACAAAATACTGACTAAAGTAGCACTAGACTGAAAAAAAGAACTATATGACATTTAGCTCAAGATATCCCAGTTATATTCAGAAAACTTGCTCAGGATTAAACACAATGTTATTATTTATCATCTATAAGTTAACAGTATTTTATTATGATTTATTTAGTATCCTCTTTTCAACTCCAATCCTTTACATTTCTTTAAATATTTTGTATATGCTTGTTGTCGAATCTTTTCTACGATTGCTTTATTTATTGTATGTAAAGCTTCGTTTGGATACTATAAAGTGATCTTCTGCGTTGTCTGTAAATTGTCTATTTAAGTGAACGCAACTCGATAAGCACTAAATAATCTATGGTTCCTTCACATAAAAACTATTCATTGTTCATAAATAAAAGTTATATACTGTGAAAGTATCAATAAAATTTTGTATTTTACTCAATCTTATAAAAGTTAGTTGCTTAAAAAAACTGTACCCATGTTAGAAGAATTCGCTGTTTACGGATAGAAAACTATTATTAAAAGGTGTATTGTTTTGCACAACTTTTGAAGTATTATTATTGTGGATTCATATAGACTTTTTAAAATTTGGAAACGATTTTCATGTTGAATAATTGATATTTACTTTGTTCCAGATTTGTGCTTCTTAGTAGTGCTCATTCACAACTACACATAGTATTTAACGTAAAACTCTTCTATCTGGCAATAAGCTTGATGTAATTGATTTACTGTGTTAAGATTTCATTATTTCAAATTTTAATTAATCCATGATGTTATACCACTGTCTTTATACATTGTTGTCAGTTCATTGCTGTCAAAATCTAGACTAACTGAATTCCACAAATCACAGATCCTCATTAAAACATCAATGAATGCATCTCAAAGTCATTCACTAATAGGGATACGGGTCCTGCTTACTGATGTGTGGTAGTGGAAGCAAATGTGATTGGCCACTGAGTGTGGACAATCAGTCATGCAGCTTACTGACCATTAAGTATGTGACTTTCCTTTTAATGACTTCTACTCCATAATCTCTGAGAGCGACTGCTTGTAATTGTGTTGAATAAAGCATTGTCCACCATTACTCTGGTATTTTATTTTGGTCGCGAATCCGGACTCTGATATAATGTCGTCTAGTCTGTATATATCGGGTCGTTCGAGTATCCAATCTGGCGGTATTGTAAACTCGATCATCCAACTCATCCTAGTAGCGTAGTATAGCACAGAGAAAAAGGGCCTAAAGTCGTTTGTTATATTACTTACTAAACAAATTTCATATATCATAAAACATAATTCTTTTCTTACGCGTAAACGTGAAACTCAAAGTCATTCGATGGTAAACTCAAACTTATTCCATCCCTTTTAAAATCGAGTTGACCAACCACCTGGGTAATATTGTTTACTTCTTGGTGGAATATGAATTAGTTTATTGTCCTAAGATACAGAACTTTTTTCTTCTCAATTTTTTAACCGGTTGAAATATTTTAGTCTTTTTCCTTTTTATTTTCAAAATTGTTTTACATCACATTCTTTTTGTAAAATATATTGTGTGTATGTGTGTGCATTTGAGTTCATATACCATTCATTCTAACTCTTTTCATAAATATCCCTAAGTATACACATGTTTAGTTATCATATTATAAGATGAAATATTTATATAACAACTTCATGCATGCACACGGAATATTACTGAGATGAACATCTACTTTCATCCTTAAATCGGGCTACTAAAATAAACAATGTCATTTCCAGTCAACTTTAAATGAATCGATTCGGTCTCATTTTGATCATATACATGTTTTTTTTAAATGGGTATTTAATTTTGTGATGTATAAGTTAAATTATTACTTTTGTATGCTTACTTACCTAGAAGAGTTTCTTCTTCAAAGACAAATAAATAGATGCATACTAATTCTAGCGAATCATGGAGAGTGGTTGAATTTGTGGCGTTTACTCGTCATAAATTAATTTCAATTGAGGTATTTATACAGAGTCAGTACCAAATACTCTATGGTTTTCAATAATATCTCAACTGAGATATCAATCCATGATTATTACAACTTATATAGATATATTACACATATAATTCAGAATGATCTAGTTTTTAACTATTAAAATAAAATTATCTTTTCAATCATTTAATCATTATTGTTTTGTTCTTTTATTTCCAGCTTACTTTCTAATAAACATATCAAATCACGTAATCCACCATTACCTACACGTCTATGGTGTGATAATTGTCTTGTATTTGACAGTCATGATACAAAAGACTGTTCGCAGGCAAATGGAAATAATCCCTCACATCAACATTATAGCACTAATGGTGTGATTAAAAACTCAATAAACCATGATGAAATTCCTAGAAAGTCATCTTTAAAAAATTTTCATAAAATTTGTAAACAGAATTCATCTGTAACAACAAATCGTTTATACTGTGACAATTGTGGTATATTTGATGATCATGTAACGGAGAATTGTACAGATACACAAACATTTTAAAAATTAGTAGAATAACATTATAAGTATATATTAAGTGAAATGTAAATCTCCTTGTACCTGTGTGTTTATTGCTGTCGACCCTTTCTTGTTCTCTAGTCTTCTGTTTCTAACGAACTCTCTTTCCTTCCTGTTTATCTTCCTGTCTTGTTTTCTTATACACATTTTGCTTATCTCTTTTTGTGGGGAATGGGGGATGGTTTAGTTAATAATTTACTTCACTTGATTATATTTCTAATGCAAGACACTGGAAATTTGACTGTTGATCAAGTGAAAAAAAGAGAAAGAGGGGAAGTGCCTTATCCTGTCATAATGATTTACTAAAAGAAAACTAATATTACTATTATCATTATTCTTGTTCTCCTCTATTATTATTACTATCACACATTTCAGTTTGGAAAATATTCGCTTCATAATTCTTTCATGCCTACCATACTAATACATGTGTAAGTGTTTCAAACAGACACACATATACATATTTAGCGAAAAAAAGACACCTACACGTACACACACACACACCCAATGATGAATATCCCAATGTCTTTTTTTTAGCAATGAAGATGAAAAATTTGATTTTATTTTATGAATGATTGCTTTTACCGCCACCATTATTTATTGTTATTATTATCATTAAATAAATAAATATGGGGAAATCCTTATTTTCATGTAAAAAAAGCTCCTTTTATTCTTTTAGCATCTACGTTTTATTATTACGTACCAACAAGAATTTCGGAGAAAAAAAAAGTAAAGTGAGGCAATTTTCGTTTATGTGTATAAAATATAGTTTTTATAAGTGGTAGACGTACGTTGACTGTTGATTTCTAATCATAGGTATCTTCGGGATATTTTCCGCATATTATGAAACGACTGAATGAATAGTGTTGAGACTAGGTTTAGGGTACTAGACAAAGATGGCAAATCAATTATGTTATAAATCTTCATCGATTGGAGTAAGTCATCAACATAGATATTGGTTGTACCAAGTTGATATAACATATTCATACAACGAAGGAAAATCAACAAAATGAATAACAATACTGACGTTATTTTATCCATCTCAAAATAACTTACATGTTAAAAAATTACACTTGATTTGTAATAATTTAAAATGATAATATGATTGGTGCAACCACCCTTTTACGGTTCACTTGCAATAACAGTTTCAATTACAGTTTTTAATTTTTAAAAATAAAAAGATTTAGCTGAATAATGGAAAATCCAGAAATTAGGATAAAGAATTCATGCCACTAAGCTTTTACTTTTCAAATAGTTATATGGTTATCCTTCATATTTATTTACAAAATACGAGTTTTCTATCCAAATATGTATTGAACATTGTATATACCATTGATCCATGAAAATAAACAAAACTAGTAGTATTTTTCTTCTAATTAAGTAGAGACAAAAACATTCCTAACAAACATATATGACAAAAATTACTGTTATATATATATATACTACTATTCTAATAAATTATCTAAAGTAATCTAATGTCAAAAACTAACGACGAAATCACTTTAACTAAATGAATGAAATCACTATATGTTTATTTCTATCAAACATTAATACTGAACAAAAGGATAGTTATTTTATAAGGAACCTATAAACAAGTGATTATGATGTGTTACATATATTTTCAATCATTTGAAATGATAAGTAAACTAGAATGTAAGGTAAATTCATTTTCATATATATGTATAGCCTATTTTAATGAGAATGAATAAACAGTTTAAGCAAAAGATAAATGATGTGTAAACAAATGAAGTTATAATGGAGAAATAAACACAACTAAATCAAAAGGATATCATACTTTAGAATATACTTTTTCACTCGTAATTCTTTACTGATCAATGGTTTCATGAGTTTTTAATCAATGTGAATATCTCTAAATTTGTCAAATTATTCTGTTGATAAACGTTAATTGAAACAAAAGAGCGATAAAGTATTGTAAATAGTATAAATTGCACAACGACTATATTTCAGACAGATAGAAGTTAGAAACGAAAAACAATTTAATATTCGCAACTTGCTTAGTAGCAATGGATATCCAATGAAATTCATCGACAAACACATGAAGGAGACGAAAAGAAGGACAAGGATACCTACCGTTCCGAAGAAAGTATTGTTCTTAAATGATGCTACGGAAGAAATCGTGACACAGAGGTTAAGAAAGGCAGTACAGAAAACATTTAATGCAGCCAGACTGAGTACCGTCTTCTACTACCGCCCTACAATAAGAACGGTTAATAAAGACAGATTGCCAGAATTCGCCACATCTATGTGTATCTACCGATTCAACTGCTCCTGTGGGACCAGTTATATAGGGCGTACAGTTCGGCTAGTTCGTCAACGAATAACAGAACACCATCCGTCATTGTTGAGCAAAGGACAAGTAAAAGTGATAAAGTGTTCTATTCTCACCAAGGTGAACTGAATAAAGCTTTTAAGGTTATCTACCATATTTCATCAAATTTACCGTATGGTTTACGAGTTCGTCTTTTGCATATAACTGGAGCCACCGCAATCCATGTTCACAAACTGAACCTTTGTATCCATGAGAAGTTTGAACAACCACTCTCGCTACCCCGGCCATCGATATACCGAAGACTGTAGCAGAACTTGGGTAAACAATTATCGTATTCCTTGTATTTTTGTATATTACTTATTCTCTATATTCATCTCTTGATTCTTACGTGACTACTATATTACTAACCATTCATCAAAATATTTTGTTAGTTCTTTCTTCTTTAACATATTATGCAACGTAGCAAAACCTAGATTTTCGAATAATTACTTTGATTATTATTAATTCTCTTCCAACTAATAATCGATATATCATTATATAATTATTGCGTAACGTATCTACTCGATGAGTAATATTCTTTTATTGTGAATCATATATATATTAGTGTAGAGCCATGATGAAAAACTAATTGAAAATAAATTTCTTCGCTCGATTCGTTCCTTTTTATCTCATATTTGTTATAACATCTGAATGGTAATCCTCTAAAATATCATTGTTTCGATATTTCTACGCCTCACTGCAATAAGAAGTGTTGCCAAAGTGATGGCTATGCTCAGTATATTTGAGTAGCCCTGCATGCCCGTTTTGTGCTTACGCATCACTTCGGTTATGTTATTATTTAGATGACGAGATAATGTTAATGTTTTATAAAAGCGCTACATAATATAGAGATTTCGTTTAAGGAATTTGTATCACATTTTCTACAACATTATTCAACTGCTTTCAATGATTTCGAAATTAATTTTGTCTGGTAAAATAATCAATTAAACAAACTAGTGGATATTATTCACTTTGAAGGCGCTAGATAACTTTGCTATAGGGGTACATAGATTCGTCGCTCCAATCAATTAGTAGATAGCACCAGATTGTTAAGTAAGGACGAAACAATGTATCATATTTGTTTCGCCATTGAAATTATAAATATGTCAGTACTGTCTTGTTATTAGGTTCACTGCAGGAAATCACATTTTTACAACTTGACTAATTCGATTACATACCCATAATGACTCATAAGGTATTTTATCAGCTGTATTCATCACAGTTTACGAAGCCTAGATTTAATTTTTGGGCAAACTCCCTTATCGTCTGACATTTTAATAACTTCTATTGAAGACATTGATGATGAAAAATATCTTGCATTCCATGTTTTATTGCATATATAGCTCTCCTGAATCAATTTGATTTCGGTATCGTCAGTAACTGATAATCGATTATCAAATAATCACTTCGTATTGCTTATGATAATGATCCGTCATGAGATCAAGTTTAACTGTCATACAAGTATTCTAATAATTTTTTCAGACATACATATATCTGTATACATAAATTTTGTATAAAACTATTGATATTAAAGTGTTATCATTTATTTAGCATGTTTAGGTGATTCTTATTTAATTTAAAAAATAGTTTACACTATAAACAAACTATAGCTGGGGAATCAATAAGAAGTACTAAACGGTTATTTCGAATGAACCATTCATATTTCCCAAGTGGTTACACATATCACCGTCAAAAAAGAACATTACAAGGTGTAATTCCTTTGATAATGTGAATCCACATAAGCACAAATAATTATTTTCATTTCTAATTGATAACTTGAAGTACCTCCAAACCGATCAAATTACGACAGATAAATTAAAGTATTGGGATATAGTTTTTTGTCTAATACCTATATACGTATAAATTGTCATCTACTATCTTGTTCTATACATTTACATCAAATCGTCTAAGGCAGTATTTGGTTTTCACCGAATGAAAGAATTGTATTATATTTAGTACATTGGAAACTCTGATCACAAATATTTAGGTAACATTATTAGATAATAACTATTTGGCTTTCCTTTTAGCTTATAAATAATAAATCTATCTGATAGAATATTAATTTTGTATGATTATAACAAAAATTAAATATGTGTATCACTTAAAATATTCATATCGTTTGTTTTTTTGTTGAACTTTAGAAAATAATTCACATGAAAATAGGTTCTACAAGAATTTAATTGTAACTAACTACTTTCTTAGTGTCTTTTCTTTTTATATCAAATTGGTAAATGCTTCCGTTAATTTTAAACAAATTTTCCATATCAGAAACGGGTTTTGTGGAAAATCTGTAAGCACTTGACAGCAGTTTCATCCTATTGTGGGACTCTTCAGCGGTGCGAATCCACATCCCCCCTAGCGAGATTCCAACCCAGGACCTACCAGTCTGGCGCCAGAGCGCTTAACCAGTAAATACTAACACCATCGGATGCCAGCTTAGTGGTCTGTCGGTTAAGTGCTCGCGCGCGAGACCGATAGGTCATGAGTTTGAATCTCGCGAGGTGGGATCGTGGATTTGCACTGCTGAGGAGTCCAATTATAGGACGAAAC